GTTCAATATGTCTGGAAAGGAAATCAGCTACTGTGTTGTCTTTTCCTTTTATTCTCCTTATCTCATACTGATAATCTAATAGGATCAACGACCATCTGTTTATTTTGCTGTTTGCTATTTTCTTTCTATTTAGTGCCATTAATGGCTTGTGATCAGTCAATAATATAAATGTTCTGCCTAATAGATATTTCTGTAATTTTGTAAGTGCCCACACAATTGCTGATGGTTTCTAAATCTTCAGGAACAGAGTCATATTTTCTGAGCAAGTCAACATGTAGGACTTTCAATTCACCCTTCATGTGGATTACATAATCAACTAAATTTAACTTGTCATGAATTGTAAACGGACCCTGCCAGATCTTTTGTCCATTATTGTTTGGCAACCATGCGAAAACTTTATCATGTAATTTAAGATCTCTGAGGTATCTATGTGTATTCTTTATGTGTCTTTGTCTTTTAACAACAAAAAAACAACCGCTCTGACAAAAACATAATTTTACTCTCCAAAAACGTGGAGCTCACATTGTCCTCTCAAAATACAATTCATTGTCCTCGTGGACAACACATGGTCAACACCATTCACTGTTCACTCATGCTACCTCTCTGTTTTCATGTGAAAACATTGTCCGTTACAAGTGGTCATTTAGATTTGGTTACCGCTGACATTCTAGAAGACATCCTCTTAATTGTCGGGGATCTCTGATGGTCTGGAAAGGGGTGAATGGGGGGAGAGGGGGACACGATGACCTACAATCCTAGTGATAGACTGATATTTCATCATGATGTAAACTCATGGCGCCAATCATTTGACCAGCGACATGTTTCATTGTTATATAGTTATTCATGATCTTGTTGTTGAAATCCGTCTGTCTTCTTGAGACGATTGTGTATGTATTATTGGCACATTACTGAGTGGCTTATGAGACCGATCTTGGAATGACAGTCGCAGCTGGTCATGGAATGACAGTCTTGGCTACATTTCTCGAAGGAGATCCTTGACGGCTGGTTTACTTTACATCACGCCCCCCCCCCCAATTGTTACAATGATTTCGTTTTGCGCGTCTTCATGCCTTTTGGTATCCCACCTTTACTGCTGGTCGCCAACTAGAGGGGTGATCAGTGATTCTCGCCCATTTCGATGTTGGCTTCCCTCATATTTCTTTTATAGTCCTTATTTCGCAGCCATCCAACATGTCTTGTCCCCTCTGTCATTTCTATTCGGAATACGCCCTTTCTCCATTGTCTTTGCATGGCTTAACCCTCGAGGGCACCCTACACTAAGATTGGAGAACATGTTACACATTTTGGAATTCCAAGAAACCCATTTTTTAGTCACTTTGTCCTGCCATCGAAAGCACTCTTTTTTTTTTTTTCTTTTTCTTTTTTTTTTAACGCAAGTGAGTTTCGCCAAGTTTGCACCCGATTTACGTGTAATCTTTTTTTTTTTTTCTTAGTTAAATTTTTTTGTCTCTTTGTCCTGCCATCGAAAGCACTCTTTTTTTTTTTTTCTTTTTCTTTTTTTTTTAACGCAAGTGAGTTTCGCCAAGTTTGCACCCGATTTACGTGTAATCTTTTTTTTTTCTTCTAAGTTAAAGTATTTATAAATTAGTATTAGCCTAAAATATAAATAATAAAGATTTTCCATTTTATTGTTACTCCGGTACCGGTAAAATGTTCGAGCTCACTAATTCATCCCAAAAGCCTTGAAATGTATAAAACATGAAGAAATACCATGCTCTTTTCTTTTTTTTAAACTTAAAATATTTAATTTACAATAGTCCTACAATTGAAAATGGGTGAGATTAATAAAAATGAATTGGGTGAAAGAAATTGATCAAAACGAAATGTGCCATAAGAGTGTAATTATTTTATTTTTTTTTTTTTTGGAAGAAAACAAAACATATTATTTTCCACTGAATCTGTGCATCTGAGTGCCGCCCTGAGAAGTTGGTGTAACTCATGGGGTGGGGGGGGGGGTTGGGGGGGTGTGGAAGTTGGTGTCACTCATGGGGTGGGGGGGGGGGTTAGGGGGGTGTGGCCAGTGCTTCAAGACGATGGTGTTATAAGCTTGAGTTGATTTCTTTAATTAAATCCATTACGACATGCTGATCATTTCGCTGCCAATGGCGTGGCAAAAAAAAAGAATAGTTGCTCTCTTGAACCAGTTTTGAGATAAGGGCTCAATCAGCTTTTTTTTTTTTCAAGAGTCACACATATCTAGAAGGTCTGCCTCCTGAATAGATCCACAACTACCACAAGAAATTGATACATTACTAATTAACAACTTGACTCCATTCAAAACGTCATCTATTGCAAGGCCTTCCTTAACACAAGTTAAGTCTCTGGAAAATACAAAACACTGGCTCCCTGTGGCCTATGATTTTAAAGGGTGGGGTAAGTAAAATGAATGGTATAGATGGTGTCCCTGCAATCGTAACCAACTTCCCGGTGCGCCTGACTAGGATGGCGCCGTTCACAAGTAGGCTTACACCCTAGGCACTTATTGTTAAGGACGAACGGTAAAGCCGAGGTAGGCTACTGCCAGTATCAATCAACACTATCATTTTTATGTGATAAATAGAGGACCGAAACTCGCCACTGTTTGTCGTTTTCCTGTCAGCGTTTAGCTAAGCATTTGCTGAGACAGTGGTTCTAAAGAAAATGATACCCCAGTGAATAAATATCTAAATTTTGTTTTTTAAAGATATAATGTCTAAAAAAGAAAAATTTGCATTAATACAAATTTAATTTGTTCCTCTTTTATATCCATTATTGCTCCGGTATTACAATATTGCAGAGCTTGACGGTTAAATAACATTATGGACATCGCTCTCTATCACGGGCGAAGTAGGAATAGAAACCTAACGTTTGACAGGGTTGATAACTGGGTGCGCGTGCAACGTAAGCCTATTATGACGAGATGGGAGACAATCCTATTATATTTATATGACCGAATGACGAAGCACGGAATCCAGTGCACAACAAAGGTGCACACGGCATATCCCAGCCGTCTCTGCAAATCTGAGTTCGCAGCACACAGAACTCTAGTTACCGTTTGGGGAGCAAGACCTGGCTGTCAGTTAAAATATATTGATATAAAGACAAATTACATTTGGTTGACTTTTCACTGCCGGGTACAGTGAAAAAAAACTAATCTTTTTTTAATTTAAACAATTACTCTTAGTACACGGCCACTTGTTTGCATCAACGGGTTACATAATAAATATAATTTAATAAAGAAGAAATTTAAAAAATAGTAGAGTGATACTTTAGGTATTTTTTTTTTTACTATAAAATATGAAAATAGAAACTTTAAAATAAAGCTGTGATCATAAATGCAAACCACCAAAATTCCAACAAGGAAAACAACCACTGACTCCATTAGCTCGATGCATGTATTTGTGACCAGAATATATCGTTGTGTGCTAATGTGACCAGACCAACATCATTGGTGTGATTATGTGACCAGACCAACATATTTGGGCTGATTATGTGACCAGAACATCATTGGTGTGCTTATGAGATCAGACCCACATCATTGGTGTTATTATGTGACCAGACCAACATATTTGGTGTGCTTATGTGCCGAGACCACCATTGATGTGCTTATGTGATCAGACCAACAATACTGGTGTGCTTATGTGACCAGACCAACATCATTGGTGTGCTAATGTGACCAAACATACATCATGTGTGTGCTAATGTGACCAAACATACATCTTTTGTGTCCTTATGTGACCAGACCCACATCAAGGAATAACGTTCAAATGAGAATCATTAAATTTTCTGATGATGCCACCATAATTGGCATAATATCAAAAGGTGAAAGTTATACAGCAACTTAGTTATAACACTTCATGCCTTAGTGTGATAACAAAATTTCTTTAGTGATTGTTTCAAAAACCAAAGAAATGATTGTCAATTTCCAGAGGGGGAATCAACTGATTGAAAATGTTACAGTAAAACATTACAGTATAGAGCCAGTAGAGAAATGTTAGTACCATTCCTAAGTGTCACCCTTAATAAGCTAACCAGGCATGACTATAGCCTTATTATATATTTTTAAAAAGTCAACAAAAGCCTTTTCTATCTGAAAAAAAAATCTATACTATTTTGGTATTAACCAACAAATTATTAAAATATTCTACAGTGCAACAATTGGAAGCCTACTGAACTTCAGTAATACCTGCTGGTGTGGGAATTCATCATCTGACATCGAACACAGATTAAATAGACTTGTGAAGAAAGCTAGTTTCACAAACAAAACTTTCTTCACTTGAAGTTGAAGATCTATTTGAAGCAAAATGCATTTGTAAAGCTTTTAAAAAATCAGGATCCATTCCATCCTACATCCCAACCCTCTTCATTAAAGATACCTTAGATCAGCCGGATCAGGACGAAATCTTTCCCTCAAAGTTAGGACCGAAAGTTATAAAAATTAATTTTTCCCAACCTGTCAGAATTTACCAGCGTTCTCTTCCGGCTGTTACAAAATATGATTAATCGCCCTTAAATTCAATGTGGTCACTAAGGGAATGGAGTTTTATAGCATATGACGTCTGATGTTTGCACTTGAGAAAGGCTTTGGATGTCTCCTGGTTAAATTGTAAAACTTTTTTTAAATTTTGCTGGGTAAGAATAGTTGTCTATGTGCTAAAAATCTATTTGTACAATGTAATCATAAAACATTTCCATTTACTTGGAGGATGATCAACAAAAGAATCTTATCTTATTATTTGTTTGCTAATGTACTCAGCACTATGTTCTTATATAGTAGGAGTTTTGATAACAGTTATTCATAAAGCAGTGTGTACAGATAAAACACAAGAAATTGTTGAAGTCCGATGCACAGGGCTGTCTTGTCAAAACACATGGTGCAACACACAAACACCATAATTAACATAATTATACAAAATAATAACCAACTGAAAAACAAGGGATGAGAACAAACATAACAGAATCTACAAACTCCATAGTTGTATAATTTATAATCATTGTATTTTGTGAATATGTTTTTTATGACATCTCTATGACATATATATAGTACATCAACAATCCTCTCCGGAACACAAGTGGGTAAAAATATGAAATATACATATCGGATAATTATGTCCAACTCTCACTTTTATATGAGTTATCGAAGATGTAAAATGCTATCTCTCCAGAGTCAACAACTGCCCAGTGTATGGGCACATCATCTTTGAAACGTGACCAGAGCTCTTGTATCTCTGCTAAACCTGGTGGCTGGGAATTACATCTGGTGAAGAGAATATTTGAAATTGTTGAAAGCAAAAAATTTTCTTTATTTGAATTGGGTAAAAATCAATAAAATTCAGATCATGACAATGTTAAATCAACATTGCTTTATTTTTAATCTAATAATAACCAATTGTGCAGCTTAATTGAAAATTACATTTTAAATTAACAATGGTGTCCAATTAAATTGTATTAAAAGTTGGTGCATGTACCTACACAAAATTAATACCCCACCCCTTCCCACCCACCCCCCTACCCCCAAAGTATATTATTAAAATTAATAAGTGTGACTTCTTACATCCAGATATTTCAATACAGGATTCTGAAAGCACTTAGCACTGCTGGTTGTAGCATAGCCAAATCATTGTTTAACAATCGCTGGTTTTTATTTATTTTTTTCGTCACATCAGTTCATTAATATTATTATAATGATGCCAAACCATAAATATCTTTAAACAACTTCTTATTGTTTTTTTGTGTGGATATATCTGTATATTTATTTAAATGTATGTATAGGGCATAAAGTTCAGATGCATAGATCTCTTAGTCTGCAAAGTGCTATGAAGCTGACTTTGGCTCAGCTTAGTCTTAAAAGGTGTTTATCTAAAATCTATTTAGATTGTAACCTTTCAGAATTATGTAAAAACATGTGGGGAAATTTTAGATCATTAGATCTAGTGATAAAAAGTTTGATATCAACAAACAAGTGATGTTTAGCCAGAGTGAATTTAACAGCAATGCAGCATAGTGCAGAAAATAAATACCCACTAATTATCTGAATTAATAAAGAAGTCGGTTCTAAGAAAAATTACTCTTGTTTATACTTACTTTGTAACACATACTCTATGATTTGGAACACCAGGCATGCTTTTTTTAAATTTACTGTCAGGAAGATGCACATCATAGGATATTTTAACACTCACAACACAGTCAGCTCTAAAGAAAGAGATATTTTTGAAAGAATAGACCACAAATAAATAACTTAAATAAAGACAAATATTATACCATATTATACCTGACAGCAAATGAGGTTCAAGAGCCCCAAATTAAATACACACGGATCCAGAGTCAGAGAACCACAACTCAAAGACATATATTAGGGTCAAGACCACCAACTTCAAATCACAAGGTTAGGGCCAAGACCCTCTACCACACTTAAATACTGCAGGTAAGGGACCAGACTCCCAAGTTTAAAGTAAACTATAAAACTATGACTACCGGTATAATTATATTCTTATCCCGGTGTTTTTGGGATGAAGAAAGTGAAAATGGTCACCATTTTTTACCAAATTTAAGTTAAATTTTTAGGGGGGGGGGGGGGCATTCATAAAAAAAAATAAATGAGTGCATTTTGAACCTGACAATAGCCTTACTAAAAAATTCACTGTTACAAGACTGGATATTCTTTGTTAAATTAAGAATAATACTTTAAAAGCTTTATGAAATTAAACAAGTAGGGTGACTATCATAGCAAACTGAAGTGTTCTGGTTAAAGTCCTTTTCTGAACATTTGTGTCATTTTTTTAAATAGTAATATATAGAATAGTTGACAGACTTACTCAGGCACCAGGCTTTCATCCTCTGCTGTCTGAATGATGCTAAGCTTTTTGAGGATACACTCTAAAAAAATGGGATATCACTTATGTAGTTAAAGGAAAAGATTGAATCTTAATGAGTTTATTAGCCACACAAAAAAATTATTACTTTACACCAAATTATGATAAGTTGAAAAAATTTTTAGTTGCTTATTAATCCAATCTTATATTTGTATTATTTTTTTAACATATGGATCATCAAAGGAATCATTGTGGTATAATTGAATAGTATTATTAGTCTTTTTTTTTGTTTTAAACTTAATTGAGCCTTACCATACGAGTCTGCATCACTAGGACGTACAAGCGGAGTGACATCTCCTTCCCAGTAGTGATCCACAGGAGTCGTGGCATTTATCTCCCTGAGCCTCTCAGCCAGCTTCTGCTTGTAATCTTTCCAGTTTGTGGCCGTGACCAGGGGTCTACGTTGAGTCCACTCAGCAAATGAAAAGTTAAGAGATGCTATCCTAGCTTCCCTCTCCTCCTCTTTTTCCATCTGCCTGTTTTTAGGTTTCAAGGGGTACTGATGGTAAGGAGTTAATAAATAAATAATGGTATTTTTACTCTGTATCAGGAGACCTCAAAATAATATTAAATAAGTCAAACATTTAATAGCCAAAAAAAATGTATAACAGACAATGAAACAAATATCTAATGCTTGCAGAGAGTTCATAATGTATTTACAAGTTCCCAATACAACACTGTGAGAAACAATAAATATTCGCATTTGGTGAACATTTAGGAAGTTTTAGAAGAGAGATAGACGGCTTCTGAGAAAACCAAGATAATGTAACCCCTACCACACAATTTTTTTTTTTTAATTTTGAGTACAACTTCAAGAATTCAAGAATTAGAGCAAGCAGTGAAATACCTGGAAAAGCCGGCTTGAATTTGATGTCAAAAGTGAAAGAATAACCCAAAGATTTGTGAAAAAATTGGTGGAGAGCCTGAATATTATTTAGGTGTCATAAAAACTAAGTAGACTGCAAAAATATTTTGATGGAGGTTCTCTGAAAAGTGTTTATCATTTCCAGGATGATGAAATATAATATATATATGTACCGGTATATATATATATATGTGTGTGTGTATTGCTGTCAGAATGTTCTGCTAATACAACAGAATGTGTGATCATTTATTGTATGGGAGTTAACTCTTGAACTGTTTAGCCATAATCAACTATATAAAGCTCAGTGTGACTATGTTTGTAAATGGGCCAATCAATTAACAAGGAAACCAAACAATGGGTTGCAACCTCAATTTGACATGGTCATTCATCCTGACCAACAGATGGTTCCTGGAAACTTAGTACAGTAATTTTTAAAATCTTAAAATGTAGAGGGTAAAGAGTTTTAAAAAAAGCTATTAGTTTCAAAAGGCTTCAAGGTACATTCAGGGTTAATTTATTTTCAATTATTTTCATTTCTACTTCATAGCTGTAAGGATATGTTTTTTCAGATGGCCTTAGGTGACCCCTGGAAAAGGGTTGCGCGACCCCCAAAGGGGTCACAACTCACAGGTTGAGAACCACTGTGTTACAGTGTCAAACCTGGGCTCTGAATAAAAGTCTCGAGAGAAAAGTATTCACCTGTGAGATCATATGTTTAAAGGCGAGCTGCTGGCCTAACAAGAAGGGACCACATTCAGGACCAGGAAATAAGACAAATGGTTGGTGCCATCCCTATCAGCCGGTACACGGCTCAAAGCTCAAAAAGAAAATTAATTGGTTTGGACACCTAGTCAGAATGCCTGTGAACCAACCCTTCATTGCAAGCTAACAATGGCAGGATCCCGGGTTTCAGGAATAATAACTGAAACGGGTTGGGCCTCACAAGAGTTATTATAAATTTCGCCTTTCAAAGGAGAAAATGTTAATAGTTACTTAAGAGAAATGTGTTTTGGATTACATGTTCACTTAAAATGCTTTATGAGATTTTCTCTGGGGATATTGGGCTGAACATAAAAACGATTGATTCTGATCAATATTAGACTTAGAGTAACCAAACACATGCTTCAGATAATGAAGAAACAAGTTTTAAGCCTATAGTTGGTTCTTCAGAAGTATTGGAAGAAGATGACTTCCGCATAATGCTACAACTGTCTGTGTAAGCGTTTGAATAATACTAAAATGAATATTGGATATTGTCAGTCAAACAGAGATTGAATAAATATAAAAATTAACACAATTTTTCATCACAGTAATTAATTTTGTTAAAGGGTCACCAGCCAATGTTAAACAAAATTGTATTTCAAAATTATATTTTTTTATTTACATTAAAAAATTACTTTAATAAGTGAATGATCCTATAAACTTTTGCTTTTAATAATATTGAACAACTAAAAATGGTCATGTTTAATTTAAAAACTTTGCAATAATGCCTTTAAAGATAACCATTTTGTGAATGTTGAATAAAGAATGCCTACCTTGAGTCTATATTGCTCAACATCAAACATGAGAGATTCCTCTTCTTCTTCATTTAACTCAACACTAGAAGGCAGCAGTCTGCTGTCAGGGGCCACTAACCATACAGCATTTCTATTGGCAATATTGGGCAATGGAACAGTCGGCTCAACCACCTTGTTGCTGGAATCAGAAGCTTTATTGTCTCTGTGAGTTTCTAAATTGCTTGTCAGTTGTTTTTGCTGTGTATTTTCTGCTGTCACCTCTAGTGCATGCGTATCCTCTAGCTCTGAATGACTAGAAGAGTGTATTTTAGCTGCCACCTGTAGACAATCAGCCCATAGGTCGTGGTAGAAACGAGAATTTGTTGAACTCTGAAAAGAATTACAATTTTCAGAAGATCCTTTGGAAAATTCACCCCCGCAAGTGGATACAACTGCATTTTCAGGATTTCCTTCCAGGGAAATGCTTTCATTGTCGATTCTTGGAATTTTTGCAGGGCTTATTTCAGTTTTATTGTCCACTGTAGAGGTGCAACGTTTTTCTGCTTTTTGAAATGTGTTTACAGAAACATTTTCTGGTTGAACATTTACCCGCTCTACAGAATCTGCTGGATGTTGAAAGGATACTGACTCCTCTACTCCATTGCTCTCATTATATTCTGTGTCCATTTTCTTCAAAGAATTGGACACATTTCCATTTGATTCAGAAGCTGCAGGTATTAAATTGTCTTGAGCAAAGATTGCGTCATTAATTATTTCAGATGAAATAGCTGGTTCCTTGCTGTTTCCCTGACTATTACCATTTAGCTGAATAATTTTTCTCCCCTTTTGAAGAGCTTTTCCCTTCCTCTCTTTGCGCTGGCTCTTTTTGATATATTTATCAAGATTGATCTGTCTCTCATAAGGAGTTATTACAGGACTGTGAATAGAATGTGTAAGATTTCATTGAAGTCTAGTGTAATGTTTTATCAAATAAAAAGATGAATAAATAAGTCAATACTAAAATACCATGTAATATATTTGCCCAATAGAAAAATTTAAGGTATACTTGCTATTTCAAATATACCCTATCATATATGGGTACACCTTCAATTTATTGTACAACTTTAAATAATAGACGTGCTTACCCTCTAACTCCTTAATTGTACACTATCATCTCAAAAATTGTACAATACAGTATCTTAATAGTATAAAAATAAAATATAAAAATATACAATAACTATTCCTATCATGTGTCTAGTAGGATTGAGCTTACATCAAAATAGGTAACTTTTAAAAGTAGATTGATTAAGTGTATCCCAATCGATACTTTGTTTAGCAGAAGTGTATCTTCTATAGATATCAATTAATATTTGGGTGAACATGCAGATCACATTAACAGCATCTGTGACTGGTAAAAATAAAGTTTCAGGTGAAATTTGACAAGGTTCAAACTCAAAGTCAATTCAGCATAAAATAAAATTCATTGATATAAGATTTAATTAACTAATGAGGACGTCATTTACAAAACCTACCAAGTAACTTGAGATTTATTTTTTTTAGGAAAAAGCTGTTTTAAAAATAAAAACAAAAATACAACAAGCTTATTTCATGTTAACACATTATAGTATGTTAGGAAGAGGAATGTTGGAACCAAACGGGGGGGGGGGGGGGGGGGGGGGGCTGGTGTGTTATTAGTAACTGTACAGCTGTTTGGTGTTTTCTAAAAATAGATATGAAAGGCCCTCTCAGATCCTCTAAGACAGAGGTTCTCAAATTTTTTAAAGGATTTCTTGTGTGATGGTCTCTTTAAAATTTATTTATGTGCTCGTGGACCCTTTATAATTAACTACAATAATCATATAGGCTACTGTTACAAAAAATTTTTGACAAATAAATCGTTTATAAAATGGCAAAACTTTGCCAGCAAATGTACATTTAATGGGATTGATGCATCTTCTTTGTCTTAACCATTCTTCTTGGTTTGGCTTTGTTTTGGACAGTGCAACGCTTTTGTTATTTTTTGCGTCTAATCTGTTTCGGGATTTTGTTTTGATCTCAAGTAGTTTGGAAAAAGCCGCCTTACACTCATAGAAGGTGGTTGCAAAATGGAATCAGCAATCTTAGAACCATCCTGCAAAATTGGGACAGGACTGCCCTATTTCAATCCAAAAATTACTACAACACATTTCATGTAAAACATATTTTGCACCCCCTATCACTTATCTAATCAATAAACAAAGGCAGATCACAAATGGAGAGTACAAACAGTTGTTGATAAATCAGTAGTATTTTTCAAATTCTTATGGATCTTGAAAATAATAAGAAATGTCATTGCTAAGAATTGATACATGTTCCATCCTTAACAGGATGATTGACAGGCGATTATTGTTGTAGAGTGTATTGAGTGAACTTTGTGACCAGATTGTCCTGTGCTCTTATCATGTTGTATGACTGGACGTTGTTTTCATGAATGTTTAAAATTAAATGTGTGTATTGGTTGGAGAACTGGAGTGAGTGGACATGTGATGTGGGGTATTAAAAGAATGTATAATTGGTGACTAAAGGTTAGTTGTTACACAGACCTCAGGCTTAGAGATGATATTTTATTACACTATTACACATCCCATCATGTAAAGCTCATTTTCATCAATACGTGTGTTTAGCTGTGGAAATGGGCAAAATATTTTTTTTCTAACTTTGCATGCCATAATTTGAGTGTCATTTTGAACGCTGTCAATGTTTCATGAAAATGAAGCACTGAGATCTCTTGTCTTAGCAGCCACATGTTGATGGTATTCAACTTTGTCAACCCTTTATTTAACAGGTAAATAGGAAAACTGACAATTTAGGTTTCATGTCTGGTTTAGCATCATGCTAAAACTGCTGCATTTCTTCATGTAGTATAAATAGTCTCTTCAAATTTTTCTTTTTGGAAAGACACCGGAACCACTTTCTTTTTATAACTCAAAAAACAAACTAGAGTTGAGTGCATTCGCTTTAATGAAGTTCACTTCTGTTATCACTTCACTTACTAGAATGGCATTACGTGCCTATGCCACTACATTCTACTAGCTGTTCTCAAAATTTAGTGAATATATCAAGTCCCATGGGAAGTAAATTGAATTCCTCCACGGGACATAGAACCAGCGGCAACAATTGCCAATAGCACAGAATCTGTATATAAGTGACCCCTTCATGGTCCGCCTGAAAATGCTTTGCTGTCTTCTAGGGGACTGCAGACCCCAGTTTGAGAAGCACTGCTCTAAAATATAATGAAATCTAATGTTTAAAAAAAAAAAAACTGTTTATCTGCGCTTTTTCACTCTCTGCAGTTCAGCCGAACGAAATAATTATATCCCAAAATTATGTTATACAGTACCAAAGCAAAAAAAAGCAATTAGACAATAATTGTGATTTGGTTAATACGCTAAAAATTATTAAATATTGCAGTGTCTAGTGATTTCATTATGAAAACACAAAGCAACACTATTACAGTTACAAAAACAAGGCAGTGTTATTGTGTAATTATTAACCCCCCCCCCCCTCAGCAAACCTATACAAGAGGTCAATACCACCATCTTCCTCTCTCATAGCATATGTCATATAATTATACATTGTCCCCAAATAATTTTATTTCTTCATCCATTCATCTGTTGGATGTAGAAAGGAGCTAAAATTGACAACCGAAAATGTACTTTTTATTTTTTAATCAGAAAATTTTTTTAATTGAAAAAATAATCTGAATGTAAATAAATATTTTCTTAAAATCGTAGTTCTGACAGTTTCCGGCATACAATACATCTCAAAATTTAAAATTGTGCACCAAAATCGTAAAAGTAAACACGTTCAAAATAAATAAAAGTTATGATTTCCTATTAATTAAGCAGCTTACTGTGATTCATGCCTCAGTACAACAAACCCCAACCTCCGAAGGTGTGAGAATACTTGATATTCTTCAAGGCTGACATCAGGACCAAGAAATTCAAAGTAGGCTTCTTGTATGCTTAATGGTAAATCTCTGTAATATACCTCAAGGACATTCTGGGAAAAAATATATGTTCCTGTTTGTTATTATATTGCAACTATTAAACTTACACAAATATTTTGTATGATATTTTTATCATTATATTTATTATATCAAATATTTTATCAAATATTTTTACAGTTCAGTTTTAAGCTTTTCATTTTAAATAATAAAGAATACCTGCACTCTATGTCAAGATAATAAAAAATTAAATACGATATTGCTCTGATTATAGACTACTCATGATTATAAGATGCAAGTGTAAAGTTGTGCTCAAATATACCAGTTTCTTTTAAAATTTTAATTTTAGCAACATCCTGATTGTAGGCCACACCCATAGTTTAAAGATTTACATTAAGGGGAAAAAAGTGCAGCCTGTATTCAGAACAACATGGTAATTTTTGTCTACATTTTCCTATGGATTAATACTGCACATTGTATTTTAAGGTCTAATTATCTTTATACAAAACATTATGATATAAAAAATATAATAAGTATTTTAGTACAAATTGTAAACAAAAAAGATAAATTAAATTTTGTTGGAGTTGCATCCCTTTGGTTTGATGCATCAAACTAAATCTATTAATATATTTTTTTTTGCCCTTTACATCTCCAAGACATAAATAGAAAGATTCCAATGTTGATGAGTTACTAACTCCTTCATTAATACTCATCCAAATGGAGTCCAATGCCTTTGAAAGAAAACACTGAGAGTTACTTACGGCTTCCATTAGAAATAATGCTTCCTCTGGATACAACCAATTACGAAGATTGTCTGTGAAACCCATGTGTGTCCAAAACTTTCCCTGCAAAATAATTAGTAATTTAAAATGAGCATTAATTTAAAGAAGCTTTCAAATAAAAGCTGCCATATTGTAAGACGTTAATATGCAGATTTTGCTAGCGCATCAGAAACTTTACTAATTTGTGTAGTACAGAAAACTATTTTAGAAACTTTACTAATTTGTGTAGAACAGAAAACTATTTTATTTTCGTGCTGAAACAAATGGATTACTTTCAGAATTGCTAATACTCTGTAAACAAGTTTAAGTTTTTATTTGTGTCTGTAAATCTAAAAATGGAAATTATTAAATTCATTTAAGAGTTTCAGAACTTCCATTTCACAATGACTTTAATTGTTTTAAATTTGTGAAAAATTAGCATTAAAAAATACAACTAAATTTAATTAATTGTTTGATCTGAACTCACTGTTTTTTTCACATTGACCAGTCTTTTGTTTATGTCCCACTTTCCTTCAATTAAATTTTTTCTGCAAACAAAATTGTTTCAAATAATGACAACAACCATACATTACTGGACAATACTCTACTTGCAATTAACATTTAGAAACCTAATGATTTAAACTCAACTATTCTCCAGTTTCTTCACTTAAGACAAATAATGAAATACTAGTACGCCTATGTATTATAATTACAATTTTTCTACACGTTGTTCAGACAATATTGATGTTCGCTCTTGCATAAAAGCTTCCAGAGCTTTTGTTTGTATCCATGATCCATCAGGTTGAAAATCTTTCTGTCCACCCCTTGATGGCAAGGAAGTTTCTCGTTTCAATCTATATTTGAAGAGTTCTTGGGCACTGCAAGTGTATAAATAAATGATGCTTATATTGTGTTTTGCCTCTGAGTTGGTATTTCAGTAAAACAAGGGAGACTACTGCTTAATTTGATTTGAAATGGGCATCAGTGCAAAAAGAACTAGAGATTATGATTTTTTTATGTGAGGCTAATTTTTATAAAAACAGGAGCCCTTTTGACCCATATTTAAGTTCTGACTGCCCTTTCACATTGGAAGATATCTATGAAATTTTGGAAAATCCTATGTCAATATAAGGCATCTGTCCATGTAAAGATTTAGTCAAAATATTAAATCTATGTCTTTCATGCTACTTCTGAAAAAGTAATGTATATTAATATATTTGTACCATTATGATATTTTTTTTTTCACTTAAGACCGTACCTATTCTGAGACAGACTGTAAGAGTAATAGTTATGACTGGAAGCATATTAGTAGTCAAAGTTATGGACTATGATAGAATAAGACATTTCACTTGTAGATTAGTAGCAGTAGAGTAATCTGGAAAAATACTTAGTTAACCAAATTTTAAATTCAAATAATAAATGATGTTAGTTTAGTTTTGATCTACCATTTTGATTCAAAGTTTGAGGCAACTTTGGATTATTGTTGGAGCACTATAAATGGTTGAACAATACTTACTGTTCTAACTAAAGTATGAATTATGAGTATATAATTAGGCTTAGTTATTAGTGTAGGGTAGGCTAAGTAGTAAGTGTTATTATTATTGTTAGTAGGGATAATAATCATATATTAAGTTGTTAAAGTTAAAATCAAATTATGAAATTTAAAATCAAAGCTGTAGACTGCAGACACTGGAATGTTGTACTTGTAGTCTGATGTTCATCTATCATTATTAATTAACATGTAGTGTCAATTATAATGTAGACTAATGAACTAATGTAATGATTTTAATGAAGAGAGAGATTCTAATGTGTAAGTATGAATAGTATGATACTGAAAATATGTAGGCCATAACATACAAGCTAGACTACTGACATTGTTTCATTGTAATGAATGTGTCATTTAAATTGTAATGGTAATCTACCACTTCAGTGCTGGTTATGAAAAAATCCTGTTAAACAATTAATGTATGAAAAGACAACAGAGTTTGAGATTACGCATAGTTCTCCCCCAAAGTAACAATGAAAATTTTAAAAATATCTCCATGAAAACAATTGCGGAATGTAAACTTATGCAAATAAGAAGGGAAAAGATCAACTGTCTTTTCATTTTGCGCTTTCCACGCATTCACATGTTTTCAACATTCTGTGTGTGGAGGGCAGCATCATTTGGATCAAAAAAATTTTGTTAATGGACCATAAACAGAGTATTAGTATATTCCATGTTTGATCTGGTTTATGTTGGCATAAGCTGCCCATCATTCTGATTTCCGATACAATTAGTGAGCCTGGAACAATATATCTTTCGATAATCTACCACTTGAGCATTGGCTGTGAAAAATCATGTTTTCCGGTTTGAAGTTCCCTTTGAAGAGGTAGTTTTATTCTTTTATTTATCCAAATACATGGAAATTTTTTTTTACATTTTCATTGTACATATTCATTTCAGCACAAATATAAAAGTAAAAAACAACATTTTTAAAATAGAAAAATTGAAACAATTTAATGTATTAAACAGTTTGAATTTAAATCACCTCCACAAAAATGATTGTGAGACATGAACTCATGAAAATATGAAGGGAAAAGATTGCACCTTTTTGCCAAATTTTCTTTCCAGTTTTTGCTTTGCATACATCCACATATTTTCAACGGTCTTTGCGTGGACACCAGTGTCATTTGGAGTGACTTTGCAGATTATCTCTACCACTAGACGTTTATTGATTTATTGATGAACAACAAAGAACATTTTGTTGATTCCATGTGATAGAACTTATTGTATCAGATGGAATCAACAAAATCAACATGGAAGGATATATGATATAGCGCTCTATGCACTCCTGTAATTTTGATCGCATGTCAGCGCCCACTCTCTCTTTCAAAGCTATGGAAAACCCAGTAACCCTTTCCACTGTACTATTAATGGATATCAATAGAAGAATAACCATTTAAATAGCACTTCAAACTGAAACAACGCGATTTTTTCAAAACTGACGCTGAAGTGGTAGATTACATATATTTCTATACTATACACTACTACACAGTATAAAGTGATCTCATGTCTTTGGTCTGGGAGTCTGGCACTTCAAAGATAAAACTCAAACAGTGCCCACTCTTTCTTTATATTTAATTATATGCCACCGACAAACCCAGTGTCCCTCTCTACACTGTGGACATCAATAAAATAACTATTTAAATTTTTAAATAGCACTTTAAACCAGAACATTATTTTTTCATAGCCAACGCCCAAGACCAGTGGTATCTTACCCTGTCAAGTTGTCATCTTGGAACTCTCAAGTTGTCATCTTGGAAGTCTTGGTACAGGGCGGCGCTAGGGGATGGCGAAGTGGGCGACCGCCCACGCGTTGCTGTAGTATATTTATAATATACCTAAGCCTACTAATAGTTCCAGTTCCAGATTACAATGACAATGGCCCATTCAGCTTCATGTTTTCGTTATTTGTAAAACAATGGTGCTGCGATGAGTAATTATAGGGAAAAAATAGAAATTTCGGAAACTAAGCGAGTAAATATCTGTTATGACGCGTCCCAATATGCCCAGCAAGGCCCCAGTACGACTACAACGTGTCTTACTTAACTTACTATCCTATCAGTACTATCAGCGGAATATATAAGTAATATAACGTCAACGGCCCGCAAAATTCAATTTACCCAAGGCACAGAACCCCTTCTAGCGCCAGCCCTGCTTGGTAGGCCATGGCCACAGCCTTCCACTCTCCTTTAACTTTAGTGCTTTAGACTGGCCTTAATCAATCATAATCCTAAGTCAAAGTCTAAGTGGACCTTACTGATAATTACTGGACCTTACTTATACTTTACTTAGTTAGTAACTTAGCCTTCCTTAAAAATTAAAATAAAATATTAAATTTAAATAAAACTTAATTGAGTTAACTTACCTTAAGACTGAGTCCTTGACAAGATCATAAAATGACATTTTTAAAATCTGTTACTAACATACAAATATTTTATGTAGGCCAATAGAACAGATGAAAACCAGATAGGTCTTTCTATGATACAGGTCTTCAAAGTCTAAGAAAGCATCCTTTTTAATATTGGCTAAAGTTCCGTATTATGAAGCTGTGTTAGCATTTTATTTTAAAAGATGAAAAAAGAAAATTGACTTATACATATTCTGCGCATTAAAAATAAATTATTATTTTAATTTTCAACATTTCATAAATTAAAGGCCTAAACTTAAAAATTAATAATATTTTTAACATGATTTTTTTCTCTTTAAGTAAAGTAATTTAATCTTCATCATACTACATATTTCAGGAATTCAGAGTCCTTTGCTTTTCAAACAATTTACCTGAGTGGAACATAAGTTGTCTAAAATAATTTCAAATAAACAATGAAAACAAACTATTTTAATGTCCCATTTTTATTTTATTTTTAAGAAAATTAATTTAAAAATATTTTAATTTTTTAATCTTAAACAATATTTAATTTATTGTTAAAGCAATTTTTTTTAAATTTCCTTTCTTTAAAACTATTGATTCAAGCCTATTTCAATTTCACATATTTTTTAATTACCTTTGTGTACATGCGCAACAACTTGTGTACAAAATGTTTGGAAAGGAATTTTTGCTTCTGAAGACCTAACAACACAGGTTTGCTCATCAGTATTTAACAAATTTTAAAGCATGTTGGATGGTTTGTTGGACTTTTAAACAAAATGGATCGTGAGTACATAATAATATGTTGCTTGAGGTGCATTATAATTTCTGAGGATGTAACTAAAAATAATGATTCAAATTTCATTCTTTATCATTATCTCATTTCATTATGTCTTTCATTCATCAGTCATTTATCAAATTAATCGTATTATATCGGTCTAGTCTAGTCTTACCTTACTACTCTTAATAAGTCTTACTAGGCCTACTCTTAGTTGTAATTTATTAGTGTCTTGGTCTCCTACATAGGCTCCGTGTTATGCCCTACTCAGGCCTGCTCGCACTGGCTACTTTAAACTAGGGCTTTTACTTTTACTTGCACACCTAACTAAGCGCCTAAACCCTACTAGTAACTAGAGCTTGCCTACTAACCCTACTCAGTACAGCCTACTTTGCTGATTCTCTCTAGCCCTCTTTAAATGCCTCAACTACAATCCTAAGCCTGCTCATAGTAATAAATGATAATAATAATTAGGCTAATAATAATTAAAAAATAATATTAAATATATGGCATAAATTGGGGGGCCTTTATTAGTATTAGAATTTAGATTTAAATTAAAAAGATAAACATTGGGTTAGCTGTATGGGTTTTGCCAAGAGTTGTCTCACTCTAAATGCCATGATGTCACATTGGGGAATCCTTACACTGGACATAGGACTTAGATGGAATAAACAAATTGTTGGAGTTGAACAATGTGTATAACTTTGCTGATCTTCACTGAGGATTATTGGCATCATAAACTAAATTTCATGATCGGTAAAGTTAATATGAAATATATTGAAATGAAATATTCCATTCATTATTATTAAAATCTAAACTACAAGAAAATAATTTTTGTTAAAACTCATCCTTGCTGATAGCCCAAGATGACCACAGGTGGATTAAAAAAAGGATACATTCTAAAAGTTTTGTCTTTGATTGGTTGAAAAAAAAAGAAGTACTCAGTTGCTATTAATTTCTGTCATGTTGCCATTTCACTAGACATTTCCCTATAATTTTCTGGGGAGGGGAGATTACCCCCCCCCCCCCCCCCCTTCTTAGAAAAAATAAATAATAAAAAAAAAAAAGGATAAATTCTAAAAGTTTTTTTTTTGATTGGTTTAAAAAAAAAAAAGTTCTCAGTTTTTATTAATTTTTGTCATGTTTCCCTTTCACTAGAAATTTCCCTATAATTTTCTGGGGGGGGGAGATTACCCCCCCCCCCCCCACTTTCAAGACAAATATAAATATAAAAAAATGAGGGGAACATACTGTGGAAGACATAGTTGATTTTACTATTAATCCAATCCTAGCCATTGAAAATTAGCAAATGTCAATAGGCCATAGTAATAGTTGTAGTATACTAGCACATCCTTAAGGCTCCTTGTCCTATATTACTAAGCCTATAAAGTAAAGATAACCACATAGTGTGACTGATGCCAGTGATGCTAACCAAAGAGACTAAAAAGTCAAACTTGTAGAATTTAGAATATATCAATATATTTACTGTCAGATCTACACATAGCATACAAATGCATCATCTTGCTCATTTGTTATTTCAAAACTTAAACCAAATAGTCTTAATTTTGGTATCAGCAGGAAAAGAAATGAAAGGAGAACTAAAAAATAGAAAATTTATTTATATCATATCATATTATATGGCAGTCATGAAATAACAGTGGTTTCACACATGTCATTATCATATATATCACATAGTTATGTATGAAAAGAGCATCACCTAAAAGCACAATTTTAAATTCACTAGTCTATAAAGGGTAACTTTTAATTTAGATCACAGAAAATAGATTGTTTTGTGTGTTTTTTATTGCATTTCAATATTTTGTTTACATTTAAAATTTAATTGTATTTTAATTTTTATTTATCTTTCTGTTTATGTACTACTACTACTATAGTTAAAAGATTTAACACTAGGATTGATTGTCTTTGAAAATACTTGAATTTTCTATTTTTATTACATAATTATATAATATAATTTCTATTTACGGAAATCTTAAGAAGTTGCATCTTATCAATAATCAGTTAATCTGAATTGTTAAATTACTTAAATGTAAATTTTTAATGGTTTGACTTAAAAAATATAGTTGAAGCAGCAGAATCCTAGGCGTTATTATGTTTACACAGATACCGGTATGTTTTTTTTTTTGCAGCATAGTAAACTAAGCTCCTTGTCTTAAGAAGTAAATGTTTACTAATATAACATATTGATTGCTTTCTTGATAATAATTGGTTATTTTCCAAGTTAATAATTATATTTGAGTTATTCATGTTTCTTCTAAGTCAGTTATAGAATATATTTCTATTTTAATTTTCTAAATTATTTATAAAAAATCATTTTTTTTGCCATTCTTTGTAATAGACACTAAAGGGAGGAAAAAATGGGCTAATGGTGATTTTGAAGCTCAAATGCCTTTAAGTGTAAGTATTAACAAATATAAATTTAAAATATACTAACTAGATAATGCTATTCCTTATTATACTTTTAGCGAAAGTAATTTAATCACAAAGCTTCTAATAAATTTCAAACCATTTTATTTTTTTTTTAATTCCTTTATATTAACTTCACTTTTGTTCCTGGCTGGCTGGGTTGCAGTCTGGCAAAATCTTTGAATGGCTAATTAACCCAATTCCCGCAAAATATCGAGCTGAAACTTGGAACATAGACTCATTGCTCATGACAACACATTATATTAAATTTTTAGCCAAACCCCAACCACCTAATATAAGTTTTTCCTGTTTTTCAAGGGGAAGATGAATGAAAAATGATGACGCTGATGTGCATTTCGCGTGTAATATTTTCTTTTGTTTTTCTGAAATTGTTGGTGAAATAAATCTGTCGTGTAAAAGCGTGTCTGTCATTAAAATATTAATATAGTTCAGAGGTATGAAAAAATTTTACGGTTGCGAGCCTTTGGGGTGGGGGTAGCACTAATTGGGATTCTCATAAGTGCTTCACTTGTGCAAATCTTTTATAAATTTTTTTCAGCCCCCCCCCCCCTCCCCTTTAGTGTTACATTTCATTTGTTTTATACGAACAAATTTGTTTTTAGGGGTTGTTTAAATTTATTTTTAAATTGTCTGCAACAGATACCTGTTACCAAAGAAGAGGTGCCACCACAGTATGAACATTACTTGCATTTATTGCAAGAGAGAAATAGGTTAGTTGTCATAAAATAATCTTTAGAGTATCATTAATTAGCATGTATTGACTTAATAACGGTTTATTTGCATTCACCAACCTAAATCCGTGGTGAAAAACTTTCCAACTCGCAACAGCTGTTTTTTGCCCTTGTATATAGTGTTGCTGTAGTTAGCTATCTCTGACAGTTAATTTAGGCATAGGTCATGGAGTGCTAGGGAGTGAACGAGGTGATATGTAACTATATCATTTGCATGTCTGCAGTGGTAGAGGACATTTTATCTGGTTTTTATGCAGTTTAGGTGAAAATTAAGTTGTATCCTGTGCACATGCAAAAGATCATGACACATTGACCTGTTAAAGGCTTTGAAGGCAGTTTTTTTTTTTAAATCTGTGTAAGGACACATCTTCCTGTTAAGCCCATAGCCCATCCATTAAATAACTCTTCTTTTTTGTTAGCCCTTATAAGCTGTTGAGACGTTTTCAGTGATGCAGGTATGTTTGGCTTTTCAACTATTAAGAATTTACATTTTATCTTGATTTTTGTTTTACAAAAAATGTTCAGACTTGTCAAAAGGCTTCGGCAGAAAAACAGACAGGAAATTGAGCTAGAGAAAAAAGAAAAAGGTTTTACAGTGTACCTTAATACATCTTTCTCTGGTGACAAAGACCCTAAGACCAGAATTAATCAGCAGCTTCAGAGAAGAAAAACTGCTAATGCAGCTGGTGAGAAAATCTTTTATTTATATTTTAGGAAACTTTTTTAAACAGGTTTCTAGGAACATTAGTAAGGCATAAAATATGTTTGATTATAATTGATATACTGAAGTTACCTAGGATTAAAGACATATATGTATGTAAGAAAATGGAAAACTTCTCTAAAGTCTTGAAGGCTTGCAGCAGAGTTGTTGTTTTTGTTTTTTTAAGTCAGTAAGCTGAATATATTTTAACATAATTTAATATTTAACTTATTTAGATCAAGTGAACAGATCATCCCATCCCAAGCGAATAGGTGGATCAGCTGGACAGACTCATGACCGTCGAAGACACTGGCAGCTTTCTTCTGTTGAATACACAACAGCTGATGGGCAGAGACAGAAAATCAAGGCACCAGGTAGGTAAAATTATCTTTGGTTATGTAGAAAATTAGCTAATTACTTGTGAAAGATGAATTGTTTTGAGTACATAATTATTAGTTTCACTTTAAATCAAATAAATTTGTATTGAAAATATTTACTTATTTGGGCTGGCTTGCTTCTGTTTTTTTAAATTTTATTTCAATTTTAAACATTTACTTATATTGTTCAAAATTCAAACCACAAAAATGGCTGCTGAGTTTGTATTTATCCTACAAATACTAAACTATATTTCAGAAATTCTCACAGGAAAGTACCAAGAGGATTTTGAAGACGGCAGTGATCTTGATGATCTGGAGGTAGATTTATAATTCATTTAAATTATATTAGGCTACTAGCCAAATTTTAAAATGATTACTAAATTTACATGTTTTTGTCAAAGTGAGTCTTCAAAAAGCTTATCATTTTCATCTTTAGAAAATGCACTTCTTTAATGGAACAGTTAATCATTCTTTTTTTGTTTTTAATAGTTATTAACATAAACAAGAATTTTTGGGTCCTTTTCAGTTTAGTTTATCAGAAAATAATGATAAATTTAACATCTCTCTTTAAATAATTTAAAAACAAACTTAAAAATTCTTTTTGAAAATTAAAGGTTAGAAATTTACGTTTGGTGCAATATCTTTTTTTTTTCTTCTGATGGAAAAAGCTTAGTTTGACTGCTAAGAGTTACATAATAGTTCACACCAAGAATGTTCTTTCAGTCAAATGATTACTTTTTTTTAAAACTCAAAACATCTCTTGACTTCATTTGCTTTTAATTCTGTTTAAAAGGGGTAACAAATTAAATTGCATACTCATACTATGTTCTGTTAAGAGCATTCAATCATGGAACCTCTTTTTTAAGAGTATTTGATTAATGGTTTGCTTTGGTTTTTTCTTAATATTAATTAAATATTAAGATGTGTGTGATGCTTTCTAAGGAGTCCATACAATCAATTTTTTCTTGTTTGTGTACTAATATATAGCTCAAAATAGTGTCTTGGTTACTACATGAGAATCTTATTATTGTAAAAATAATTGTCCAGTTATGTTTGCGATGATATGCCCTTTTAAAAAGCATTAATGCCAATATGTTTTAATGTACTCCAGGGTGTTACCAGGATGTCCTCACTAGATATTGATGACGATGACGAGGATGGTGTCAACAATTCATCATCAATTAGCACCCCTCGCAGGCATAAAACAAGTTATCTCAAGAGGATAGCTGCGGCTAAAAAGGAAGAGACTGAAGCAGAAAATCGAGTATCTATCAAGATGGAGGATGTTAAGGTGTTTTTTTTACCTAATTAAATTTTTTATAGTTTTGAATCAGAGCTTATGTGCAGCTTCAAAGATTAATAAGTCATTAAACTGATTTCACTTTTGTCCATTATGAGATTGTTTTGGTTGTAACATTTGTCTGAATCAATCTTATTGTGTCAGCTAATTAAAACCGTTGACAGAATTCATTAACTAACATTGTCAAAGTAAGTGGAAGCCTTTATCCAGTACTAGGGCTTAACCGGTTGGAGGTTTTTACACCGGGTTTGAATACCTGGTGGGTCCAAGTATTACCAAAAAAAAAGAGAGTTAAGTTTTCATTTTCTATAAACAACAGGCCTACAGTCTGTCTCACACACTACCTGCTGGCCTTTAAACAATAGTCCTACAGACAGTTCTACAGATACTCCTGCACTTTATCCATGGCTCTATATTGATTGTTATAATAGAAAGAAAAACATTAAACCTTTTTACCTGTTTTCAACCGTATGCTTGACACTCGCTTTGTGACACCTTTTTCTTTTTCACTCAGAGCTATTAATATAGAACATGCTGAGTAGGGGAGGGCTGGTTGTGAAAAGGAAGCAGGATATACCAGAAGCAAAATATTTATAAGAGATTATTAGATCATGATGAATAAATGAAAATGTGGTATGATAAATGATACATTTTGTAAAAATTTATCTTCAGAAATTACGAGAAAGTCTTCAAAAGAACAAATCTATTCGTCAGAGCATAGCCATGGATTCAGACTCTGTGAGTTTGTAAAAACAGTTTGTCAAATGACCTGTGACTGCTATTTTATTTATTTAAAACCACCTTTTCATTAAGGTCCAGTTAGAAAATGTAAAATTATCCTATTAAAAATTATCTTTCCCTTGAGTGAGTTGAAACTAATAAGAAAAAAAATGGTGAAGCACTAACAAAACATAACTACTCTTTTGCTAGTGCTAGTTATAACTACTATAACATACATTATAAATCATTCAGTTTTATTTAGCAAAGCAATTGTTGGTCTTAGATTTGATATTAACATTCAATAGTTACAATCAATTAAGCTTAATCATATTTGAGAAGTTAATAGCTTGGCTTGGATTTTTACATAGGATGAAGAATCAGCTGATGAACTAGTCCAGGTCTAGTATTCAAAATTATTAAATTGTCCGCTTAAGAGAAAGGGGTCTCTGTAAATAAAATTCAGGTGTCTTTATTTTTCCTTAATTTTTTTCCTTGATCTTTGTAGGTTGCTTAATACCTGCTTATTCTGGAAAAATGTGAAGGCATAACTTCCTTTTAAAAAAAAAAAAAAAAAAAAAATCAACATGAACTTGTCATGTTTTTTTTTTATTGCATTACAGAATAGTCTATCTGTTAAATAAAAATAAAAACTCATAGAATTTCAAACTGAAAACAGTATGTGCAATGAAATCAGAACAAAAGCGTCTTATCTTAATTATATATATATTTGTTTATATATTTAATAGACTAACTTGCCAATTATTTAATATAATGTTAAATTCAAGACATTTTCTTACAATTCTGCTGTAGTCCAGTTTTTGCTCTTAAAATTGTTGATTTTTATAATTAATTTGAAACGATTCATTTTTTAAAATATTTTAAAATTTGTGTGCTCCAGACGAAAAGTCTGAAATGCAATACTTTGGTTCTGTGTTTGTTTACTTGAATGGCTTTAAACTTATTGAAAATGATACCAAAAAATGTGTGCTATTTAAAAATTCTATTTTGGGTTCATTAAATTAATCAAATACTGATTATTTGGTTATAACTTTAGCAGTTCCACTGCAAACAAATTGAAAGTCACCTGAAAGGGTCACATTTCTTAAGAAGAATTTCTATTGTACTGCAATTATAGCAACATTCTCTTACTGAGGGAAAAATACTTTATCCCTTCACTAATTTCTTTTATCTTTCACAACATGATCAACTGAATTTAAGTTTTTAATACTCCAAGTAGTATATTCTCTATTAATGTATAAGTTTCATTTATTTTATGGAAGTATTATTTTAAGTGTAGAATTAATTAAAAATTCGACAGCAATTCAAAAATCTCACTATAGAAACTTGTGCTTACAGGATGAGTCAGATGGAGAAAGAATTTCACCAATCGATGAGGAGATAGAAGAGTTGATGTCTAGTGATGATGACAACAAAAGGGCAGATAAGAATCACATAAAACCACTCCAATTGTTTAAACCTGGCGACACTTTAGTCCTAGAGTTCCAGCCCTTACCTAATAGAAGTATGATTATTGTCAACTGATGTTTTGTCACTATTGGATCTTTGCATTTTATGAAAGTTCATTAACTTCTAAATACCTTATTTGTTTAATTTCAACGTTTTTAAATAAGAAATATTAAGCAATCAATGTTACTGTTTTTAACGACCCAGTATCAATTGTAATTTCAACTTAGATTACTTTAACAAAAATGAGAAACTATTTAGTATCAAGTATTACAAACATTAAATTATTCAACATTGCCCGCCTTAGAGCTAAGACTAAAACAAGAAAGGTCTTGCTGCGGGAGTTCTTGTTTGCGGATGATGCCGCTTCGGTATCTCACACATCAGACGGCCTGCAGAGCCTCGTATCCAGCATATCCGCTGCCTGCAAAGAGTTTGGCCTGACAATTAGCCTAAAGAAAACTAACATTATGGCACAGGGCGCTTACTCCCTCCCCACTATCGCCATCGACGACTACGACTTGGATACTGTTGACAGATTCACATATCTGAGATCCAACATATCGAGCACCCTCTCAATGGAGGATGAGATAAGTGGGAGGATAGGGAAGGCGCAACTGTTATGGCCAGACTGAAGAAAAGAGTCTGGTCAAACGCCAAACTCACAACAAGAACTAAGCTGCAGGTGTACCAGGCCTGCGTACTGAGCACACTCCTGTATGGATGCGAGTCGTGGACCACATACTCTAACCACGAAAGAAGGCTCAATGGCTTCCACCTCAGATACCTGCGCCACATCCTTGACATTAAATGGCAAGACAAAGTCCCCAACACGGATGTCCTGTCCCAAACAAACATGTGTAGCGTCCCAGCCATATTAATCCAAAGACGCCTCCACTGGCTTGGACACGTCAAGCGAATGCAACCTGGTCACATACCAAAGGACTTGCTATACAGCGAGCTGGCGACAGGGAAAAGGTCAGTTGGACGGTCTCGTCTGAGATACTTAGACATATGCAAAAGAGATTTGAAGTCCTCTAAAAATCGACCTCTCAAACTGGGAGGAGCTGGCAGAGGATCGATCCTCATGGCGGGGCATCGTGAAGGCAGGATCACTACATGCCGAGGAGCAAAACAGGGCGGACACAGCTGCAAAAAGAGCGAGGAGGAAGGCCAGTAAATACTGCTCCACCGCATTCGTGTGTGGGAAATGTAACAGAGACTACCATTCGAGGATTGGTCTCACCAGCCACACCAAGAGCTGCAGGCAATAAAGATAATCTATCGTCTCCCGCAGACGGAAAGATGCCATACATACATATTATTTGTGCCCATATAGGCCCAAAAGGCTGCATCCTCCAGATTATCCATGTACAGTAAAGCAACCAATAGTTCTCACTTGTTGAGCAACTTCAGTTATTTTAGAATGATATTGATCTTCTTAAATATAATCTAAGCAAGAAATGCCTGTCTCAGAGAAACAAAGTCTGTCCTTCATCAATGACATCTACAATGTCAATATTATTTCAGAATGCCTTAAGAATTTTAGTGGCTTCAAAGCGGGATAAAAGTTTACCTTATGACTGTTTGTCTTTGAGTAGATACCAATTTTAAATATTTCCCCAGACTCAGCCAAAAAGATACTGCATGATACATAGTCAATTATCTCTGCATTCACTTTATTCAACTGAAACAATTCATTTCCTTAAAATGTTAAGATTTTATCATCTGCTGCAATAGATTTCTGTCTGCTTGGCAAAAGCAGCACCAAGGGCCTTGAATTTAAGTGCCCTCTTCCTAAAAAAGTAAATATTAATATGCATATACATGCATGAAAAATGACGATTTTGGCACCCACTGAAGATGGCATGGCGCAGGTTTTGGGTGATGACCCCTTCCCACCCCTTCCCCCCCCCCACCCACCCCCTTTCCCAACCCCATGCATAGCCATGGTTGTCTGAGTGGGTCAGGACAGGATAGCACTACTGTAGACTAGAATATTGGCTAGCAAAACTGCTAATCTTGCTGAATTCAAACCAAGATGTACTAAGGCAATCATAATACTGATCCTTTATTTCTAAATTTTATTACTAATATTTTATTATTATGGTTGCAAGGGATGAAAAACTTAGAATGGGTATTCTCATATGTAGTTTTTGTAATGTTGCGTTTTGTATTTCAATTTGGTAAAATATAGATTTTTTCATTTCTTTTTAATATTGATGGCTTTGTACAGCATTTTGAGCCTTTGGGGATAAAGCATGATTTTCAAATAAGCTTTATTATTATTATTATTACTATTGTTTTTATTTAATGTTTCTTCTGGTCACTCTAACCTTTCACATGCATAATGAAATTGTTTTCTTTTTTATTCGTTTAGGTAAAACTGCAACAAATCTTGTTGCTGCCAGAAAGAAAACAGATTCTGACGAAATCTCATCATTCTCTTCAAAAAAGTCATCCACAGCACCTTCATTACAGAAATCACTGACACCTAGAAATGTGGAGTTGAAAACAGGTTAAATTTGTTAGGAATATCATGTTTTCCCAGCTTCATTTTTTAGTAATTTATTTGTATTATTTTTTTTTATGTTCTGGATAAGCTGGGATTTTTTATATATCTGCTAACTTAGCGCAATAATTTATTAGAATCAAGGTATATATTCTTTTAAAAAATGTTTAACTAATGCTCTAAAACAGAGTTACTATCAGTTTAATGTAATACCATTTATTTTTACTTTTTTTTTCACTAAACCTCTCTAGTTTTAAATGCTTATTTATTTTTTTATAAGTGTTTAGGTTCTATAATTGCAGCTATTCAGCATTTATTTCTATATCAATTAAGATTTTTTTTTTTTTTTAATTGCACACATATATTTGCATTTACCTATGTAGATTTGCTAGTCAGCAGGACGTATGTTTCTTTGATCTTTTCTAGATGCTAGTAAAGCCATTCGGCCATTATCAGCCAGTAGAAAGAGCCCTGACACCAAAGCAGAATTTATTTTTTTTTTTTTTTTCACTAAACCTCTCTAGTTTTAAATGTTTATTTATTTTTTTATAATTGTTTAGGTTCTATAATTGCAGCTATTCAGCATTTATTTTTTTTTTAATTAAGATTTTTTTTTTTTTTTTAATTGCACACATATATTTGCATTTACCTATGTAGAGTTGCTAGTCAGCAGGACGTATGTTTCTTTGATCTTTTCTAGATGCTAGTAAAGCCATTCGGCCATTATCAGCCAGTAGAAAGAGCACTGACACCAAAGCAGATTCAAAGGATGAAGCTGCTGCAGTGTTAAAAGCACTGCAAGAAGAAAATAAACATGTGGAAAGCTTTTCCAAAGTGTCCAAGAGCAGACCACTTCCACAACCAAAGGTAGAAACAAAATCTCGTTTCGACAAGAAAAGTTTTTTGTAGCCCTTGTATGTATTTTTGTGTATATTGTAGGACAGTTTCCGCTGGTCATTTTAATCTACTCTTTAAAAAAATATTTTTTTTATGACATAAAATATTATTTAAAGGCTGATAAGAGTGACTTTTCATCTCAGAAAACATCAGACACGTCTAATACAAGCTTGCCACCAACCAATGAAAAGATCAAAGTCCTCACCCCTATTCAATCTTCAACTGATCCAAATCTGACCAAGGCAAGTTTGTCTGCCAGTAAATCACAAATGGATCTAGATGCAGAGCCAACCATAAACACTGTCATAGAGCGTGTCCTCAAAATGAATCCCAAGTTAGTACAAGTTTTTAACATAAAAGAAAAAGACAAGAATTTTGACAAAGCTATTGTGATTTCTTTTCAATCACAAGTTAAGTGAAAAATAGCCTTGTGTGATATTTAAAAAATAAGCCTAATGTAAAATAAAGATCTCAAACAGTCCTAGGTGGAAAACTTGTTTGAAATTGTTCAAGTTTTGCCTGTTTCTAAGACATTATAAAAGTAAGTTTATTTAAAATTCATTAAACATGACATTTTTGTTTTTTTTAAATAAAAAGAAACATTTATTATCAAATCACTTACCAAACTGTATTTACACCTACAATAAGTCACACATTATTATTTACTGCTCCGACCATTTACAGACAACAGAGACAGTTGCTGCACACATTGAACCACATAGACACAGAAGAAATTCCTGTGAGTTCTCAGTGTTTGGAACCTTCATGGGTGAGTGATATGAACCTATAATGTTCTCCCTGAATGAAATGATGCTTCTATTTTACACAATGCCACAAATTACAGTTTTGAGTTCACATAAGCTGACAGCGTGATCTTAAAATTGTAACTGGATTCATGGTTGGTACAAAAACTTTGTGAACACAGATTACAGCATCATTAACTTTGTGAAAACAAAAGTGAATTGATTAAAAACTGTCTTACTTAGCTTAACAACAAAAACCACTTTGTGTATAGAAAAACTGTTTTAAAAAGAAAACTTATCCATTCCTATAATGCTTATTTGTTGAGTTTTGTCATGCAAGTTTTGTTTCCAGGCAATGTTCAGTCCATAACTTAGATTAATTATGTGATACAAACGAATGAAACTGATGCGTTTTGGTGTAATCTACAGTCATCGAAAGGCCCCGTGACCAATCGATTAGAGGTTGTTTTGGAAGTTCTGTCAAACTGGGGCCATCCTTCATTGGTTGGACTCACAGAACTGCAGTTTTTTGACCAATCACAGTGCATGATCCCCATCAAACCATCTGATGTGTCAGTGCATGGAGCTAAGGAATGCTCAAATAAAGTAGAGGTTTTGTTTAATGGGAAGTCTAAGGTAAGGGTCTAATCATTTTAATATACTAGCAATTGATAAACAACTGAATCAACTAAGAAATCATATTTTTTCTCAATGAACTATTACTGTCATTTAATAAATTATATTATATTTACTCTGTTATAAATATTTATTTTTTCAAATCTTCTTTATTAATTGTAAAATAAGTGAAAATTAGTTCATTGGTAATTTTACAAAAAATACTTGAGCCTCTACCCTAATATATTATAATTCATAAAATGTTTTGACATTTTCTAAAATATTGAATTGGTATTGCTGAATTCACTAAACAAATATAATTTTTTTAGACAACCAAAGAGCGTAACATGTGGAGCTGTCATTTTGATGGAAAGCCAATTGAATTCTCTGTCCTACTAATAAACTCACACCCGGGTAAAAGCTTCCAGCTAGGGTCTGTGAAAATATGGAACTGGAACAATAAAATAAATGTAAATTGTTGGCTTTTGCTTCATATATATGTAGGCTACTCAAACAATAAATTTTTATTAACCATTTCTGCTTTTAGTCTAATTACTATAAATTATTATACATGCGGAAAAGGTTAGTGATGACAAAACACTTGAACACAAAGTGTAACATTTTAAGCATCTAATGTTTATAATCAGCAAAATTTTAGAATAACTACTATGTTGAGTATACTAATTAGGTACAAACTGAATTTTAAATCAGTTGTTGTTTATGTGTTGTAAATACATTTTCAGAACCTCAACATAGGTGCACGTCACATACGAATACACTTCAAAGGAGAGTTGCTTTTTGATGGAGACGTAGACAAAGGTTGTGGAAATCAAGTTTTTGACTACAGTAAACATGTTATGTTTGCCTCCTCTGATGGAGCAGGACAATCTAAAGCTAAGAAATCCTCATCAAATTCTTCACTTTCACTTGACATTGGCAAAGCGACATTAGCCAATTCCAAAAACAGTCCCAGGCTAACATCTCCTGCTGTTGAGTCTCCCACAAAGGCAGACAGCCACGGCTTAACACCTTCAGGAAGCCACCACACGTTCAGGAGCATATCTCGATCATCGCAATCATCAGCTTCATCCTCTGGCTCTGGAAAGGTCGGGGGCCAAAGCGAGGAAAGGCAGGAAGAGGGGCACATCCGCAGTGAAACACGTACACTGGTACGATCTAACATCTTTCACAGAAGAGGCTCGGGTGGATCAAGTCCTGAAGTGGAATTACCTGATAGTGGTAAGTAGTTGTGTTTTAAAGTGTCATTAGAATTACATACTTGCCAAAAATCTGGGATAAAAGATAATTATATTTTTCTAATGAAAACAATGTAAAAACAAAATAGAAATAAGATCATCTGTTGTTGGTCACCTTCATAAATATATTTTTGTATCTCAATAAAGTACTATTTTTTTTAAACAAAGATAAAACCATTGTAATTTAAAAGCAACTAAATCATTGCTAACAAATAAACATGATTGCTGGTAATAAATAAAATATACATAGTTGGGACTGTGGTCTTAAAAACATAATTAGGTTTAGGTTTCAACTGAAATATTCCATTGTAGGAATTTAGGTATGCTTTATATATATTTTTTATTGAGTAAATTTATTAAACCTATTACTTTTTCTTTTTAAGAGATTTTACTTATCTGTCAGACAATTAATAAAAATATGTATCTTAGTAATTTTATTGCTTGCTTATAAATATAATATTAACAACTTGAAATAATAGAATTGTGCTTATATGTCAGACTTGTCCAAGATACCAGAGAAGTCAAGAGCGCAGACACCCAAAAAAAGCAAGCGTGTCGCTGCCAAATTAAATGGAAGATCTGCTGAAACTGACAGCTCAAATAAATCGAATGGTGACAGGTAAATTGGTTAACCCTGATGCTGACAGGTGGTGGTGGATCCATGCAAAACATTTGAAGTTGTGAACTCCAACAGTAGAAGATGAAAAAAGGTTAATATCAACCTAAAATTTCATGGTTGATATATTCTTATCTATTTTGAAATATCAACAACTGCCACCACCCCTGAACCCACAACTGCTAACAGTTATCCCATTATTTACTTCACTCACTTTGTGTTGCCAATTGTTAATGGTTTGTGTATATCAAGGTCTATTACAATACCAAAGAAGTATTTTAAATATAAGTCTAATGGATTGTGTTGTTTTTTTTGTCTTTATAGTTACACACTTATGTATAAATCAAGCTATTTCTTTAATTTTTATTTTATAGAGTTTTAATCAGATAAAAGGGTGTTGAGATTGAGTAGTAGAAAGTATTGTGATAACTTGAAAAAAAACTTATGGATGATTGATCAGATATAAATAACTTTCTAAATTTATTTTTGAAAGCTCTGACTTTGTTTTTGTTGAGATATTTAGACAAAACTCATAAAACAGTCTTAACAGTAGTAAATTTTGTAATTCATTCATTTTTCAAAATCATCTGCAGTTTTGAATCCAAACCTCCTCTACCACCAACTCATAAATCAGATGATAAGACCAATTCTTCATCAAGATCTGCTGAAAGGTCATCTCTTTCCAATGCCAAGTCCAAGTTGTCACCCAAATCATCCCGCTCAGAACCTTACATATCCCCTCGACCATCATCCCCACAGAAAAGCAAGACCAAAATTCAGAAGGATAAGGGAGATAACCAGTTATTAGATTCCATCAAAAGCATGAGTCACAGGTATTTTTTCAAATTAGAGAAATGATTTATGCAGAAATGTGGCCTGAGTTTAAAAAATTTATCACGATTCAATCTTTTGGAAACATTTTCAAAGTTTTTATTTAACTCATACTGACAAACTGATTTAAACCATATTTGTATCATGTATTTCAGTGAAAACAAGAGGAAAAAGACCATTCCAACATGGCTGAAAGGGGATAAGTCAACAGGTAAAATTTAATTGTTGAATGTAGACTTGTCATACTGCAAAAAAATCGACTTATGCAATAAATTTTGTTATTAGTTTTTTATAAAAAAAAAATAGTGATAATCTGTAGGTATACATCACCACTAAAAGACATCTTTAAAGGCTTGGTCAAGACACAGCTTTTGAGTTTGTTTGCACCAATGTATATGCATTCTCTGTAAAGCTATAAAACAGTATAATAAATTCATGATTATTTGTTATTTAAATATATCAGTGACACACTCCTTTTTCATACTTCACCCTTGTATTCTATTTGACAAGGGGGTTGTCTACTTCAAGTTTTATCTCTTCGGACGTCATTTACATAACCAACTTCTCCAAATCCTAGAATTTTGAAATTAGTCTTCATGTTGTGGACCATTTTTAAATATCAAACTTTGGCGGCTCCTTAATTTAGTTATTTTCAAACATATTTAGTTATTTTAAAAAGTAAACACCCCTTTGAATAAATAAATTTCTGGAGTGATTTTGTTCATTGACTTCCCTGACATTTTAATCACAGATCTTGACCTGACGTCTGGGCAAACCAGTAAGAGAGACAAGCAGAAGGAAGATGTTGAGCTTCAGAAAGAGCTAGATGAGGAGTTTGAGAGATTTTCTCAAGCAGGGTGGGTTGCTCAATTTTACATTGATGATCAGTCAGTGGAGTCCAGAAATGCTTTTTGTAACTGTCAGTTTATAACAAAACTAGAAGTAACCACCCAAACAATGGTGGCGGCAAAGTGTGAACTTCCCATCTATTAAAGTTACTTGACAAAACATGCAGCCCAATCACTGCCAACATCTGGGAATTTTATTTTGTTCGCCTATTGAACACAACATTACAGCCATACATACATATCTAGAAAATTATTATTTGTGATATATTCATGGCTTTATGGGAAATCCAACACAAGCCAAGGTTATGTTTGCAGAGACACTTCAAGTAAACATAAACATGTTCTGTTGTTCAGGTACGTCGAATCAGACACAGAGACAAGTTGATTTTCATTAATTATTGTTTGCTTTTGATACTTGACTTCTCCTAAATTTCAGGAGTAAAAACAAGAATAAAGAGCAAAAGCATGTTGCAGGTAAAAGTTTCATCCATTAATTTTACTGAATGAACATATTGAAATAAATTCATATCATTCCATAGTCCTTGTTAGCTGCACTATGGTTATATTGTACTTTCAGACTTAAACATAAAACTGTTCTTAACTATTACTCTCCTATCTAAAATATAATATATATATTTTAAGAACAGCCTGGGTTGATGCTTGACTTCAAGGAAATTGAACCTTTGGAAGATTGACCAGATTTATGTAGCTTCGAAAATATACTTATTTGTATAAATCCTTCTTTCTTAATCAGAGGAACAAGATGTACTGACTCCCATGAAGAAAATAGAGAAATCAAGAGCCAAGTGGAGACAAAGAGAAGAGGATCTTGAAGAATCTTGGGGTTCATTGTCCTTCTTCAATAAATCTCATAGAGGAAGAGTGTCTATTGACATGGGAGGTGATTATCTGGGTTTCTGCATATATTTATGTTGGAGTTAACTTTATACCCAATGGTGCAGACTTCAGAAGTCAGTTTAACCCACTAACTGTCAAATGCAAACAAGCTGTGGTGTCAACTCTTTTTTTTTATTAACTTTGATATGTTTCACTAAAATACCCCAAACTAATAGAAAATGAAACCAGAGACCCATATAAGTATACATATTCTGAGAGTAAATTGGACAAGGAATCCTTTTGTATGAATCATTTTTTAATTCTGTGAGATATGTGAAATGAATGTGACCATGACCATTCAGGTGTGAGTATAATTGTGATACTGTTTATCTTTCTTCAACTCACACCCACAATGACTTTTGTGTCCATTTTTATCCTTAATGAATGTTTTTCAGACAATAAAACATTATTCTTTTAGTTTAGAAAATATAAAGTTATTTGGGTTAGTAGAAATTTTTTTAAAAATTATAATAATTATTGGTGACCTACATATATTTTTCTTTTTATAATGCCTATTAAATTCATTAGTACACTACGTGCCACTGCTTCCACTATTAGAACTTGAGCTGCTACTATTTCTAGCTTCACTCTCCTAATTATCACTAACCATGAGCAATGCCAAAAAACTATTTCAAAATCATCTGTTTTGCAGGGCCAATATCTGAGTCATAAAAATTAGTTTTTTAAAAAAACCTCACAATTTCAGCAGATTTAATCAAAATATTTTTTTTTTAAATATGAACACATGAAATATTTACCTTTCTATTAAATAGGAAGTAATTCTAATTTGAAAGAGTTATCCCCTTTTAAAAAAATTTAAGTGGAAGCAGATCATTTTGGCCATATAAACACAAAAAAATGCTTTTGTCTCATAATGTTACAACCACTTACAATACTTTTGTGCCCCCCAATGAAATTTTTTTACTATCACCTGTAAATGTTTGGGGGAAAATTGACATCAAGTGCAACATTTAGAGAGTTTCATTGAGGTGTGTGTGTATATATATATAAATATATATATATTATTGAATTTATTTTGTTGCCTTTATTTGTCAGATGATGAGTTGGATGAGTACCTCAATCCAGTGAAGAAATCAGAATCAGTGACACCTGTAGCAGCACCTGTGATACCAATACCTGAAGATGGGTGGTCGGATGAGTAAGTCTTTCTATCTAAAATTATGTCTTAATAAACTCTCAACGCACAGATAATTATTGTTTCAGAGTTATATTTTTTTTTTAATTTTAACAATAAATTTCAACATGATTTTGTGTCCTTTCCATCCCTAGGTAATTTCTCTATTTTGCACATTTTTTTTTAAATATTTTTTTTTAAATTATGTAAGAGGGATCAATATAACGTTTAATTTCAGGTAAATAAAATTGTAATAAAGATGCAAGAGTATTTCATAATTGTTGGCTATTTCAGAGATGCAGAGTTCACCATCCCAGAGCTACCCAGTGGAAAGAATATGGTGATAAATATCAAAACTACATGGGGAGATCACCACTATGTTGGCCTGACAGGAATACAGCTGTTTACAAATCTGGGAGATCAAGTAGTCATCACAAAGGTAAGGCTCCTGTGAAGCAATAACTTTTGAGAGTGGTGAGAATATTCAAAATATCCCAGGTGTCAAAGTGATTAAATATTTATAATCGGAAGTCCATGGCCAAGTCAATAAGATAATCAAGCTGTCTTCACATTACCTTTAATTTTGAAATTAAACTCTGCAACATTTACTGTAGAACTATTCATGGACCTGAGCTGTCTTCGTATATCTTCAAATTTTGAAAGTACACATTGCAACATATAATGTAGCTCTATTCATTGCTGTCTTGACATTATTTGTTTCTGCACTGTCCTCCAATTTCATTTCCCTCACTAAATGTGAAACAGTTTCACCTAACCAAGTGTCCCAGTTTGTCATCTAGTGGACTTGAAGTGTTTTTAAAATTACAAGACAGCCCTTTAGATTAAGACAATAAATTTAGCATTTTATACTGGCACCGAGCTTAGAAAAACAAGTATTTCCTAGCCTTGTCAAGACTAACCCATTATAGTTTTGTTAAGGCATCATAATAGAGATAATCCTTTTCAAACAATATTGAAGTGCAAACATAAAAACTTGATTATTAATGGCCTAGTAAACAAAGCTTATTTTACTGTAAATTTTAACATTTTTTAAAATTAAAATAATATAAACACAAGTTTTTAAGACTAATCCTGATGGATGATTAATGTTGAAAAATTCATTCTTACAATTTTTTAAATTAAAATATACTATATTTAGACAAACCAGTGTTTATATACATCACCCTGCTGAAGATATACTGCAAAAATTATGTTCATAATCTCTTTCAGATCTGGGCTGAACCAAGTGACATAAATATCCTGCCAGAATACAACAGGGACCCAAGGGTTGTAACAAATCTTATAGATAATGTGAACCGCACCAGAGATGACGTGCACATGTGGCTTGCCCCCTTCACACCAGGAAACAATCATTATGTTTACCTAACATTTGCTAAGCCATGCAAGTTGGCTCTTATGAGGATATGGGTCAGACTCCAATGTTATATATTAATTTCTTACATTCAATGCACCAGTCACATTATATTGTTACAACTTTTGATTGAATAATTTATGACTATAAGTGTAAGGTGGGAACTTGTTTGGAGTTTCAAGCGTTATGTTTAATTAACATCGATCTGTTTTTTTTAACAAATAAAATAAATATGTGAGTATAAATTATTCTGAGGTATTTTCAATTTTGCTTGCTTAACATTGTCAGAATTACAACAAGTCCAGGATCCATTCATTTCGAGGGGCTAAAGATGTCATTATAACTCTTGATGGAACAGACATCTTTAAAGGAGAAATAGCCAGAGCCTGTGGGGGGATTGAAGGTGGCACTGAGGCCTTTGGTGATGTAAGAAAGCTAAACATATTATTTTTGTGTCTCTTTTATTTCTAATGTCAGTGTGGAAATGTAATTCAAAGAATGTATTAGGGAGCATTGTTTTAACATCTGCAATAATTTTAGCACATGACTAGCTACAGGTCTCAATATTAATTAATTTTGAAATCACTGAAAAATCTTTAGTTTTTATCATTGACATATTGAGTGAGGCTCTAAGCATTTGCCCAAATGAGCATCCTGCAGAATTAGTGGCACACAAATAAACTCCATTACCGGGCCTCTTTAAACTTATTTGATTTCAAACATCTAATTTTTTTAAGACAATTTTATTCACCACTGAAGAGACGATTCTGGAAGCTGTGTCAAGGAATGATGATGCCTTTGAAGGCTCAATGTTTAGTGACACTGAGGAAGATGTACCATTGGAAAGACCCAGTACAGCAAATGCTGAAGATGATGTTAGTATCACAGATTAGAACAAATTAAAAAACTAAATTCCTTTACTTCCACTGTTTGAGATGTTTTACTATAAATGCTAAAAAATTAAGTTCTCCTCTCTCCTTTCATCATGTTTTTTGTTTAAATTCAATTTAAAGATTTAGTTTGATTTTAGAATAAAAAATATATAATTTTTGTGCCATTATTTTACTCAAGCTGCATAATAACAAACTTTTTTTTTTGTATGACTTATTGCAAATTGTGCATGGTTTCTAAAAAAATTATTTTTTAAAATATTTTAATACTTCAGCTAACTCCTTTGGCAACTTCAAATTTTTGTCTGTAATCTTCATTTTTGGTAGACACGTCCATTTACCAGGGCAGCTGGTCTACTTGCAGCAGACAGTAATAAAGGTACAACACCAAGACCTAGCAGTTGTTTTGTTACAAATGTTGGAGATGTCATGGTCTACAGAACTACTAGTAAGTTATCAGAATATTGCTTGGGCTCTCTTGAAAATGGTTTAGAAATTATGAAGTATTAAGACAAACTATGCATGATAAAATCTGCTTTGAGAGGTGAGAGTGTGATTTATTATCATTCATTTAAGTCCCAGCTGTACAAATTACAATAGCATGAGAGATGGACCCAAGCCCCAGTCTCATTGTTGGAGCTGTGACATAGTTCTAAAGTTGGAACAGTACCATAGTCTCAGAGTCAATGTCAGAAAATGTTTTTTTAGGCCTGGTACAAGACATTTATATAGTGGGAACAATTTCTTATTATTAATCATAAATAATTGATTCTACCCCAACATTTTCGTCTCACAGAAGTACATTTGCAGTTCACATCCACCTGGGGGGATCATCACTATTTGGGTCTAACTGGCCTTGAACTTGTTGGCAGTGAGGGAGAGGCTGTCCCACTTACACTTGACATGGTGGCTGCATTACCTAGAGACCTGCGACATCTGCCTGGCAACGAGAAGGATGATCGTACACTGGACAAGTGAGTTAATAATTAATTTTAAGTGTAGAACAGATTTTAAAGAGCTCAAGGTACACGCAGATGATTATTTTCTATTACTATTACAGGTATTCCATAAGATTTTATTTTTATTTTACCATTTTCACAATCTCTATGACAATGACTCTTTCTTCTCATGTACTGGTACTTAATAACATAGTACTCCCCCTTCCACACCAAAACTTACATCAATACATTAATAATTTTAAATGGAACTTAATGAATATTGAGAAAGTTTAAATTATTTTTGTGTGCTTTTTGTAGGTTGATAGATGGAACTAACGTGACATGCCTTGACTCCCACATGTGGCTCATACCATTTACCGAAGGTCAAAGCCACACTGTCACCATCAACCTTTCTCAGCAAACTCTTTTAACAGGCCTGCGAGTGTGGAACTACAACAAAAGTCCTGAAGACACATATAGAGGGGTGAGTTGCAAAGTGATGAACTCTAATTTCCTAGGTATAATTGAATGAAACAGGAATAAACTACAGGCAATGAACTGTGTCTGCCCATCTCAACATTTATTTCTGAATTTTAGTCTGATCAGGAGAGATACCTTGCGATCTTATGCATGTCAGAATGAATGTATTACTCTTAACCTTTCATATTATTATTTTAATCATCATTTTTATAAAATATAAAGAACACAGTGTTGTGTTAAATTTTATGATGCTGAAATAAATTTGTGTTTAAACATCTTTAAGTCATGTAATAATATTAATAATAAATTTTGCTTCAATGGTGAAAAGCTCAAGCTGCAAAATCACCATGATTTCAGTGTAATCATTATTAAATAGCCAGACTGTGGTAGATTTTGTTTGGATACAAGGAAACATGCTGGAACTGTTATAACAAAACCCCAGAACTAAAAGGTTTAATGAAACATGCTTTTCTGAAGTTTTTACACAAGTGATTTTTTTTTTTTTAAATATGGGCTTATACACAAAAAGTTTAATTAAATGCATCAGACCCTTGTGTTAAGCAAACTGTAGTGTTTATTAGAAAATATTTATTTGAAGATATTCTCAATAATGCAAGAAATGAATGATTTACTTTTTAGTTTATCTTTAATCAACACAAATCCTTATTTTCTATTTGAATTTGTCAACAGGCAAAAGTTATGCATGTGCATTTAAATGACAGAGTGGTCTCCCCACCAGAAGGTTATCTGCTGAGAAAAGGACCAGGTGTTTGTCACTTTGATTTTGCTCAAGAAATCAATTTCTCCAACACATCCAATAACCCGTCAACTGGATTAAATAAGTGAGTTCTCATCTACTTGTTAAATATTTCGCCTGGTCTATTATATCCAACTTCAAAATGATTGTCTCTCTCTCTCTGATAAGAAGCAACAATGTCCAATGTACACTACACAGTACTTTATTATATACGGTACCGGTATGCTAAATAAATCACATGATTCTTAGACATCAGGATAATGTTATAACAATTATAGTTGCGATGCAGAGAATAGATATACACATACTTTCAATAATTCATAAGATATCTATTGAGTAAATCCATTAGAGGGAATCCAACATGACCTCTCACATTCAAGTTATCACCTCACTCTCTTTAGATCCCTACTTCACCCAGACGCTCAAAATCGTTGTCTCCCTTTATCATACAAAATTGCATGCACTCGTATTTCATGACAAGAGTTCACACTCGTTCACTTAACCCTATTGTCACGAATCATCACAACACACACAATACCTCTGATTTCATGACCTTGAAACTACTCGGTTATTTGTTATTTTTATTTTGATGCTTTTACCTTAGTTAATCAACTGAAATAATCAATATTTTAAATATTTCCCGCCAAATATCCCTTTTTATTTAATGTATTATTTTATTTTTTTCCTAATTGTTCCGAACAATTTGGAAATCAAGAATTTACTGGGATTCAGTATTCTCCTGCGAGAGATGCGGCCGTGATTGCCATTCTAGGATTGGCCTAGTGAGCCACTCGTCAAAGTGTAGAACTATATAGCTACTCCATCGTCTCATGAAGACAGAAGGATGCCATATATTATTTTAAACACTTAATAAATACAATAGTTTTTACACTTACACTAAAGGAGATAAGAGGCTTACATAGAAAATTTTTTTTTTTAAGTTATGCTGTAGTAGGATTAAGAATCTTTTTTTTTTTAATTTGAAAAATATTTGTGCAGATATAAACAATTTAAATATAAATTTCTGATATCAATTATTTCACATAAAATAAATATTTAATCTGATTAAATGCTCACAGTGTTGCTGCAGATCTGAACTTTGAAGGTGGCGTACAAATGCCCAGAGGCTGTATCCTTTATATCTACATTGTAATCTGAGGCTATTAGTATAAGTACTGTAAGAAAACGGTGGTCAGCTATCAGGTGTTGTTGTTTTTTGGGGAAAATGAAATCAGGTTTTTTAGTTTATTTTTCCATGTACAACTTAAGACTGAGAAACACAAATTTATTTTATTAAATTACTTTTACCATATAGATTCTCATCAGAATTCAAGTTTTGTTGCATGGATATTTTTATCATAAATAACAAAATCAAACAAAATAAACATATTTATGTTAAAAAATGTTAATAGGTTTATATAATTAAACAACCCCTTAAAAAAAAAAAAGCTTTCGGATAAATCCTTTATAAAATGTAATAGCGAGCAGTAGGGGGTGGGGCTGAAAATTTGTCAAAGCATGCATAAAAGTATTGCACTTTATAAGAATACCAATTGGTGTCCGTCGTCCTGTCCCCCCGGCTCGCAACCACTCATTTTTTTCGCTCTCCCGAACTATATTAATATTCTAATGTCCCACCTGCTTTTATACCGCATATTTATTTCACCAACTATTTCAGAAAACAAAAGAAAATTTTACACACCAAATGCACTTTTTTTAAAAAGAATCTCATTTAGGGCAGTTATCGTGAATTTATTTCGTGATATCAGTGTCATCATATTTCCTTCATATTCCCCTTGAAAAACAGGAAAAAGTGATTTTTGGGGTGGGGCTGAAAATTTGATATAATGTGTTGTCATTGGAAACAAGTCTATATGCCAAGTTTCGGTGTGATATGTTGACTGGAAGTGGGTCAATTAGCCATCCAAAGATTTTGCCAGCCACAAACAAAAGTGAAGTTAACTTAATATAAAGGATTTAATAAACATTTAATTTATATGCACAAAACCAAGAAAGAAAGTATTGCGTAGTCATTCATTCCCTACCAATACTTAATGTCTTCCTGTTAAATACCAAACAGGAAGGTGTCAAATGTAATATAACCTACTGATAAGTTTCAACCTTCAGATTGTAATAATGTTGCAATTAATAGTAGTCCTACGTGTTTTCCTTAAATTCACCTTAGTTATTTTCCAGTTCCAGTTATTTTCAACATGGGGTGACCAGTACTATATTGGTTTAAATGGTTTAGAATTTTATGATGCATCATTCAACAAGATTGAGCTTACTCAAACCAGTGAGTATATTACAACTCAACAACCTTGTTTAAACTGTTTTATAGGGCTTTACCATCTTTTTCTAATGAAACACTAATTTATTTTGTATGTTTTAGAGTAGTATGGCATTTAGTGAGATGTTTCCTTGAGCCATAAACTAAATGAAGACATTTCCCCCCTATGCTACAACTTAGTATGGGTATATATAAATACTGTATTTTCCGTCGTATAAGACCAATTTTTAACCCATGAAAATCTTTTCAAAAGTGGGGGGTCGTCTTATATGTCAGGGGTCGTCTTATAAGCAGGTATATGGCGTGCTGAAACTTTAGGGACAGGCGCCGTCTAGTTCCAGTTTGGTTGACAGCTTAGAAAACAAACAGCATGGCAGCTCCCATGGGTTTATTGACCTACAATCCATCTAGCTTTAGAGTGAATTAGGATAAGTGTAATCCACTTGCTTTGTTTTATGTTTACTTGTTTGATGACAGACAGCCTTATGTTTATACATGACAGTTTTCCTGCTAAGTACCTGCATGTCATAAGCATATGAATTAAAATTACCATATTGAAATCAAATCTGATGTTTTTTAATTTTTATTTGGTGAGCGTTGGAAGAGGGTAGTCTTATACGGCGAGTATAGCCCAAACCCTTTTTAATAGGAAAAGTAGGGGGTCGTCTTATACGCCGGAAAATATGGTAATTTATTAACTACCAACAGACCTAGGGCGATATAATGTTCCTTGAAACTTGAAAGAAAATAATTTTACAAATCCATTTAAATTCCTTAGGACTTTTTATGTAACTTTGTGTCACTAATAATAAATAAGAAAATCATAAATTAATATGTAAGTGGTGCATATGAAAATGACAATGAATTGGGTTGAAAATTCGATTTCAACAATATTAGTACCTGTAATTAGACAATTTTTATTTTTTTTCAGATATTGCAGCCTACCCAGATAGTGTCAATGTCCTAGACAATGTAAGCAATGATGCTCGTACGCCTGACAAGCTGATTGATGGCTTCAATGACACTAATGATGGAAGGCACATGTGGCTAGCTCCAATACTTCCATCAATAGTATGTAACTCCCAAATTAAATTCTTAGATCTTAGGGGTATCCATTTTTATGTACGGTACCCAAAGAGAAAGTATTTCTTTCCCCCACAAGGTATGTGACAGTTAACCCCCCCCCCCCAATCTATTTTTTTTCTTTTTTTAAACACCTCTTCATACTTCAAACAAATGAAAGAAACCACACACCTTTGCCAACTATTTTAGATCTTTAGGGATATAATTTTAACACTTTGAGCACCAAAAACTTGACTTTAATTGTGTAGAAAATATTTTACTTCACTTTATATCAGATATCTAGTGTATTTGGCCCCCCCCCCCCAAAAAAAAAATTAAAGAATCTCATGGAATAAATAAGACCCACCTCATCCCAGTATGTAATATATGGATACTGACATGTAGAAAATATTTTACTTCACTTTATATCAAATATCTAGTGTATTTGGCCCCCCCCCCCCCAAAAAAAAATTAAAGAATCTCATGGAATAAATAAGACCCACCTCATCCCAGTATGTAATATATGGATACTGACCCTAGAAGACAATGAAAAGCTTGATTTCATCCAGTAGCAAAGGATATTAATTAACACTTATGCTCTTCTCCTAACTTTTACCCATCTTGACTGTCATTTCAGATCAACAGAATTTATGTCATCTTTGACCAACCAACTTCCGTCTCCATGATCAAGTTGTGGAACTATAGCAAAACTGTCAATAGAGGCGTTAAGGACTTTGCTGTAGGTAGTTTAGGCTTTAAATAAAAGAATCTTGATTTTATTTTTAATGTTACTTTTCTAATTATAGACAAACTTAAATGAATGTTTTCTAATTTTTTGTTTCAAATATTTCAATGGTATTTATTCATTAAAATTGAAGCATTCATTCTCCTACTAATTACTATTTGCATAATTTAATTAAAATGTATATCATCCCAGCTTTTGGTTGATGACTTGTTAGTCTACAACGGTACACTCCAGGCAGTTAATGGTGGAGCTAAGGGAATCGTACCGAATTGCAGTGCTCCTATTCCCCATCACACAGTGCTGTTCTCAGATAACAAAGAGATCATTCGTAAAGAGAAACATGCTATTATAAGGTAAGTTAATTGCACAACCTTTTTTTACAGATGTGACCACTTTGCATAATACTTTTATTAGCAATATATAGTGCCAAAGTCAGCATCTTTGGACCATTTTGAATGACATAATTGAAAGCTACTTTAGGAGGTTACTCAGACTTTTTTTTCTAATTATAGATAGTTCAAAAAGTCTTTACTTTTTGAGAAACTGCTTTCACAATCAGCAGTTGAATTATGATTAAGAAGATTCTAAAATGTTCACAACAAAGTTAAACTCTAGCAGCTGCCAACTGTGAGAGAGGGCATAATATTGTGTTTTCCATCTTGTTGTTACTATGTGCAAGTGCTATCTTTTTTTTTTTTTTTAAATTGTGCACCCTAAAATTAAGCCATATTCCTACTGCTCCTAGGTTGAAGTTACAGTTAATATGAGGCGGTACTTGTCCGCATATTAAAATAATTAAGGCCAAAATGAAGAATAATTAGGACCAAAATGATTTTTAATTAGAAATGGATTTTTTTGTTCAGTCCTATTGATATTGTTGCCATCAAAATATTTTTTTTTTCAAAATATTTTAGCAATCAAACAGAAGATCAAGATATCCAACTGATGAATGATAAAAAGGTCATTAGCAGAGTTGCAAATTCCAGTTCTAGTAAACCTGTCAACCAAGGTAACTTTACATCATCCACCTTATTTGTACATTTAATTTAGAGGAATAATAAGACACCTTACATGAAGTTCACTAAATGTCAAGTGATCATACTCAATAAATTTGAAGAATGCTACAAATAAAACAATTACTTTGAATTAATTTCCAAGTGTATGAGTTGGATTTCAAAATTCAGTGACTATAGTAAAAAAAATTCTTAATATTAATAATTAACTAAATTATTTAACCAACATTAGTAGATTAGGTAAGAAATTCAATTTTTTTTCTTATTATTAAATAGCACTTCGGCCACAGACAAGCGTCACTAAAACATCGAGAAGATGACGACGGTGTCCTGGTTTAGCAAATTAACTAACCTGTGACAGCATGACAATTATAAAAAGACCATCTTTTCAAAATGTAAAACGCTTTAAAATACTTTAAAGTGAGACTGGAATGTTAATAAACTTAATATAATATGAGCAATCCCGTATCAGTTATGGCGAGTCAGAGATGCAAGTCAGTTTGGTATGAGTTTTTTTCCAAATTTGATGCTGTTACTATTACTATCAGAAAATAAAATTAAGAGAGGCTGGTGGTCTTTGATTGGTTAGGTCTTAAAATATTAACTTGAGAAGATTAATTTGTCACTAAGGTGAACAAATTACCTAGATATAAATCAACTAAGAATGTGCAACATTACTACTATGAAAATTTAAAAATCAGTCTAATAGTTTTCTACCTTTTAAATTTTGATCATGGTATGATCATGGAGACAAGAATTGAAAATATTTGCATAATTTGCATCATGTTAAATTAATTTAAATGTGTACGTGAATAAAAAAAAACAGCTTAATTTTTGTAGCATACAAAAATTGTTAAAACATTTTACAAGAAGAAAAAAGGAAATTCAGGTCAATTACATTAATAGGCACTGATTCTGCATGTTTTTCTTTTAAGTATATCATAAATGCCTTTCATCTGTGATACAAGGTTGTCTTTAATATGTTGCAACATGGTAACACATGATGCATAGTTGTTTTATGTACAATTACAATTAACAATAGTATGGCAGTAAATTATATTGCATTTGAATTAAAAGTTTGATAATTTGGATGACTGATTTTAAATTGAACTGTTTCCAATGCAATTTTCAGTACATTATTGTTGCTCCGTCCAATTGCATTATTTATTAAGTGATGTAACGGTAGATTTAATTAGTCGTTTATTTATTAAAAAGCTCTAGTACCTATAAAAGTTCTTTTTTTCTTCTTCCTATACATTTGAGTTTGAAGCCAGTATAACCGTCTGATGTTTCAAACAAAACGAGGAAATCATTTTGTTCAAATTGATACTGTTCTATCTAACCCTGTGAATCTCAGATCCTTTAATATCATTTTTAACCCACTCCGACCTAATAGAGCAGAGCTCTGCCAACTGTGTGCCGTGAGATGATGCCAGTTGTGCTGCCCAAAATGATGAAAAGCACTTAGTTCACATAGGTGTGTAAATATGCTAAATACCTTTCAGATACAAAAGGGATAGTGATGAGCCTATTACCAGCTATCCAATTCTGCAATAACAAATGTTTCCAAAACAGACATTTCATATAGAGATAGATTATTACAATTCACTACTACAGCCTATAAAGAAAATGATAGTGTATTTTTGCGTGTTTTTACTTGTGGTGTGCCGCAGAATGCATTGAAAGGCCTTGGGTGTGTAGCACAGGAAAAATGGTTGCTGGGCTTGTTTAAAGGGTATGATCCTGTTTCTTACACTACATGACAAACATTAAACTCGCCGACAAATATTCTTGTGGTCACACAATATAACATCCTCACATGTTCATTTTTTGGCACCTTTCAACCAGATTTTAGTCTCAGAATAGCTCTCAGACCTTAATCAAAGACATACAGGGATTCTCTACCATAAAAACGGCTGTTATAACTCTCTTTCTATCTTATATATATATATATATATATATATATATATATATATATATACTACCAATGTTAACATTTAAATATGCAATATAAACTAAATTAAAAGCATGTTAACCACTGTTCAATTTAGTCCAGGGTAATTATTTTATAACTGGAACTCTAGCAGTAGCATTTTTTAACTGAAATTGACCATTATTTTCTTTATCAGTGCTAAGTTTTTAATTTGTGATAAAATGTTTTAAATTGCTAGGCATTGTTCTAAATTGAAATTTTAGAATTGCTTGATGCACTATCACCTGTAATTATTGCCCAGAAGGGTAGTAAAAGAAGTAGTAATGAAAATTCACATTTTAATTGGGAAAACTTTTAAACTAAAAATGTTCTAATTTACATCACTTTTTAAAAAGTAAAAAAATAATTTATCATTTTGAAATGATGCATGTTTTATTAAGTATAGTCAGTTAAAAATGAAAAATATTAGTTTAATCTCTCCTTCCATCAACAAGACAATTACACTATTACAGTTGAGAGTAATTTCACAGTATCATTTGCTAACACTACAAGTAAAATATTTTAACTCCACACCAAAATGTTTTGACAAGTTTATTATTTTATCATACGTTTTTGGGGTGTATAAATTCAAACCCTAGTGTAAAATAAACAATAAATATAACATTATATAGTTGACATGAAAAAGTGTTTATTACTTAGACATGTATTAAGTTAAATTAAATTTCCTATAATTTCTCTCCAATAACTCCAAAATTCTACAAAACAAATAGCTGACTAAATTTTTCCAGCAAAGGTTCCACTTTCTCGTTGCTCATCCCACTGCTCAACCTGAAAAATATCATCATGTCAATATTAAATTAAATTTCAACAAAGTCATCTGATTTTTTTTTTATTTTACATTTTTTACTTGATGCCTTTGCCACATGAGGTATGCCTTTAAAACAAGATTACATGAAACCCTTGGGTAAGCACCTACTAGGAGCTTTGCTTCTTATCATGATTTGAGTGTAGTTTAGTTTCCATACATTTTATGACTTTTTTTGTTCGTTTGTTTCTTTTAGTTTTGAAGAGCTTTGCTTTACATGTATCCTAGTTTGATAAATCTACAATGAGTACAGGTACAACATATACAATTATACTTAAAAAGATCATATTTGTTGACGGTCAATGGTACAGGGAAGGTTCTAGTGCAGATAAGAGTTCATAAACTCCGTTGTTGTTTTTTTAAATTTAATAATGTTCAATTTCTGATTATCTTTTTTGTTAATTTCAAAGTAATCTTAAACATTTTTATAACAGTATTTTTCTCTCCTAATTAATCTCAATACAGAAAATAAGGTCACTGTCAATCTTTTTGCCTTATGTGCCACCAAAAAAGATATAACTCATTTAAAGTAATTCATGTGTGGATTTTTTCATAAAAGTATAACAATTAATTATTGAAAAACAACATAAAGAGCTCACCATTTATAAAAACATGTAATTTGATAATTGAAACAACTTATGTATTATCAAATTGCATGTTTTTTTATGATGGTGCTTAAGTTTTAATGTGCAGTTATAGATAATTATGCTTACCCAAAATCCTGGACATAAATGTGTGTATACTTTCTTGAAATATTCACAAGGAGCATAATCCTCACCCTTGATTTTTTGGCAACGGAAGTAGTCAACATAATTCTGCCAGCAATTTCTATTAGTAGATGAAAGATAATTTTTGATAACTAAATCTGACACACTTTAGAAACTACACATTCCCCTCTGGCCTTCCCCAAATCTCTACCCCCCTAAACCTTTTCCACACCCTTCATTATTCACTCATACACAGCCAACTTTTCCTGTACCCCTGTACCTTCAATCCTTAACCCTAAACCTCATCCTTCCACCTCTACATTTACAAAAAAACAACTGAAACTAGTTTTGTTATGTCTTTTAATCATAATTGCTGATGTAATATAGACGTGCTTTAAAAACTAAATAATCCTGTTACTAAAAGAAATTATATTTTGAAACTGCTAGTTACCTTGTCTGATTTTGATTTGGGAATCTGGCATCAAAAGGAGGAGCCCATAGTTTCTTCTTAAGCTCTACATCAGCTGTTGTTGCTGCCCTGGTTAAAAATACATTTAAAAAAAATTAATATAGAAAAATTGAATGATATTATACAAAAACACGTCATCTACATAACAATGATGATGGCACGTTTTAATTAAATTTTTATTGGTTGATTTTATTATAATTTTAAAATTTTATTGGTTGGCTAATTAATTTTTATGTGTTCCGCCATTTTGAAACGACTTGCAGACCTGCCAAGATAAAAAATCTGTAGGGGGCTGCACGCAGGGGGGGAATGGGGCAGCTGCCCCCCCCCCCCAGGGGCATGAGAAAAACATTACTGGAAATGTTTATATATATAGTCTAGATATACAGTACAGAACATCCATTTTATTTACATACGTACATAGGCTGCTAAGAGTAAAGTTTTCCAGCATATCCATAGTGGCCTTTTTGCACTTGTCCAACAGCTTTTTGTACAACTGAAGGTTAGCAGTGCAACTGATTAAGGTTACCTGCAATGTTCCCTCTAAGGTTTGTTGGTTCGTGTGCAAAATCATAAATTTGTGTGCAAATTTTTACAGCATCAATTGTTTTGTGCGCAAATTTTACAGCCTACAGACACAAACACACCCTTAAGTGGAAATTAGCTGCTCTGTACTCAAAACTGCAGCGCGGCGTCTGTGAGATTACTGCGCGGCTGGGCAGCTTAAAGGAAACATTAGTTACTGGTGCAAGCAAGTATCAACTTCATGCTTGCCCTTTTGTTTCATTGTAAATTTTCTTTACAATCTTCTAGCATTCTGCAAGTCTGCAAACATTTCTTTGACTCTGGCATTAAAAGGATCGGAGTTGGCTACAAAGAGGTGGTAAATAAAACGATTTGCTAACTCAAACTGAAGCGTCCGATAATATATTTATTAATATCTTTGTACCCATCACTTTCCATAGATTTAATCATTTAATTAAGAAAATATTTGGTCGCTTTAACAAAAAATAGTTTGAATTAATTTTTAGCCTTGTAAAAAGGATGAATTGCGGTTGGATCAATTGATGATTGAAGAATGATTTGAAGATCGCGGTTCGCTTTGATAAAAACAAGGCAGTGTCTAGACGTCAGGCGACCGGACAAATAGTGCGGGAGATATTCATCGGGGGGGGGGGGGGGCCAACCCCCCCCCCTTTTAAACAAATTTTTAATTGTTTTTTTTATATACCAGCAATGGTTCTAGTATTTCTTTTGTAGAATCGAACATATTTCATTTCGTGTAAATTTCCAGACTATCTTGAATTGGTTGAAATGAAGTACCATTGATTGACACATGACAAGGCTGACAGACTAATATCCCGCGCAACTTTGTTAGGGTGGTCATGTGACTTGTCGATTATATATAATAGCCGCACGAATATATCGAGAATTTATCACGACCTACGTGGGTCATGGAATTTATTCACTTATTCGTCCGGTTGCCGGGCATGAAGACACTTCGTAAAAACAAATGCAACACTTCCTGTCGTATCCGATTTTTTTTTTACCGCTTTGGGGGTTAGAAAATTATTAAGTTCTAAAAAATCAGAATTTTAAGGGGTTGTCGGAAGGTCGGAATGTGGGGTAAAAAATCAGTATAATTCCGACAAAATTGAGATTTCCGACAAAATTGAAAGGTTTGTCAGGTCTGGACTTATTCATGGCAGATCTTGTATTTTATTCATTTTGTGGATATTATTTTTGGTGGAACCTGAAATAAAGTGTGTAAAAGTGTATTCCGTGAAACTTTATTTAAGTTGGGTTTTCATTATTTCTTTATTTTATAATTTTTTTGTGCCATTTTTTTCTTCTTTTTGTTCATTTTCCTAGTTTTCAGGGTCAATATCCAGGTTAGGGAGAGGGTCAAATCCCTGGTTCCGATAGGGTCAAAACCCTGATTCCAATAGGGTCATAAATAGGGGTGTGCCAGACCCCGGTCCGGAATCCGGTTCCGCCGGATTTTGCACTATCCGGTGAAATCCGGTTCCGCCGGATTTACATGTATCCGGAACAACCGGATTTCGGAATTTGCCAGATTTTGTGACTCACCGGATCATAATCTGAAATAAAAGTAATTCTCTTTCCCGAATTCCACACGATCACGATACATTAATCGATTGTTTCGAGCGTTGAGCTTGTTTAATGTTTAATATTCCGTACATACCAGAGGCTAGAGTCAGCACCGCTAATAGTGGCCAATAGTGTAGGGACTTTGATAAGAAAATTTAAACTTTTTGTAAAAATAAACCAATGGCATAGTTGAAAAGATGTAATTTTTTAAAGAATTATAACACCAAAATCATATTTTTAGCTGTTGTAGTTTTAAAGTTATGAATTTTTAAAGTACGACTTGGTTTGTCATTTTTTAACATGGACTGCATCTCCACATTCTGTGATCTCATTCCGCCAATCCCGTCATGCGCAATGACTATATAGTTTATATAAGGCAACGCATTCCCTGCCTTATCACTAAAATACTGTTTAGACTTAGTTTAAACTTTCAACTTTGGCACATGAATAATTAATTAAAGCTTTCCCTGACCAATGGTTTAATAGTTTTTGCACACGGCAAACTCTTATGAATGAAACTCTGAGGTAGTACTACGATACAGTTATGCAAGTGGCTGTGAATGGTTGCCAATGACAACGTGTTGCACACGGTAAATTCTGATCATTTATAATATGGATTCTACCGGGTTGTTAAAGCTCAAATTAAAACATTCCAGTTTAAATGTCTTTAAATGCATTCTGAAACACAAGTTATCAATTATTTTGATGTAAATAGTGATAATATATTAATATTTCCTAAGTATCGTCAACTTCCGCCATTAAAAAGGGGGGCGTGGCCAACCCCATGGCGAAATTAGGTTGAGCGAGCTGCATGACCTGCTGCGAACGCGTAGAAACATGGCGTCTCTCGTAAGACACTTATCCAAATGGAACGGAACTCAAATATATATCGAAAGTACTAATTTAATAATAAATAGACACACACATCGGAAAATTAAAAACTCGGATTTTTTGGCGCCGATTGCGAATTCCCATACACAAAAAGTAGTAGTCCACCTTGACTTACCGAAGTATCTACCAATAGTACCAAAATCCGGAAGAAACCGGAATCCGGATTATTCCGGAATCCGGATCCGAATCCGGCGGATTTCGCACAAGAAAATCCGGATCCGGTTGGAAAAAACGGATCCGGCACACCCCTAGTCATAAACCCAGGTTAGGGATAAATTTAGGATTCAGGTTAGGTTTAGGGATAGATTTAGGTTTCAGGTTAGATTTAGGGATACATTTAGGACATTTTTTCTTTATTTTTAAAGTTTTATTCTTAATTTTACTAAAACGTGAATTATTTTATTTTTCCATGGTCACCATCTTGGTTGCCGCGACTCATGAAACCGTAAAAAAATCACAGGTCGCTGCAACCAAGATGGCGGCCATTGGTAAAAATGCAGTGCTATCTCTTCACATATATCGGACCTATAATATATATATATACAGTGGAAAGTCAGCATTTTCAGCTAACTCCATCTTTTTTGTTCTTATTTTTCTTATCCTTATGCCTTATGTCGTTATGTCTCATGTAGTTAGTGAAAGTGGGGCAGCACCAATCCTAGCTAGGCCACTAATTGTTAATTTAAGTTTAAGGGCATTGGCATTAGCCTTTGACAGTGACACTATGACTAGAGTGTCTAGAGTGGGTCTATTACAATTACAAGTGACATGACATTCAACGTTCACACTCACACTGTGACTGTCAAGGGAGTGACACTGACACTGACAGTTATTGAGGAAACATTATTTAGTTGACTTAACTTAACTGGACTTAACTGTTAACTCATATCAAAACCATTTCATTCAAAAGAATTAGAATAATGAATTTAATCAATTGTTCCAAGGCAGTTTTATCAATGTATGTATCCCTATCACGTATGTGCACGTATTATTTTGATTAACTTACATTTTCGTAATTCACTACTTGACCTTGTACAAAAAATGAAGGAAGGTACTATGCTCTGTAGTGTCTGTACGTATGAACTGAACTTTAACTGAACCAGATTTTTTCAAGACGTCAGTCCAATATTCAATATCCAGGAAAATATGATTTTCAATATCTTGTTTTAATTTTAAGCCGAACTTCTATTGTCACGGCAACTTGAATTTTAAATTAATTTACTGTTACTGTGTAGACTTATCATTAGTTATCTTACAATTCAAAATTGAATTATTAATAACCTACCATATTTTCAAAAGAATGAAATGGTGAAACGAGGTATGTGGAAGCTTGAAATAAGGTAACAGGACAAAAAACAAGGACGTTTCGGCATAAAGCCTTCATCAGCCAACAATAGAAATGAAAATACAACAAAGAAAAGAACACAGTAGAAAACAGCAGTCCCTTCATTTATTCATATTTTCAAAAACGGTTGATGCCATCTAAAATTTTGCCTTTCATTCCTAATTTTACAACATTCCCCGAAAAAATCTTCTCTCATTATTTGAAAATGATTTAAATGCACAAAGTGGGGCAAAATTTGCTAGCAAAAATTGGAAGTTTTTATCATTAATAACAGCAGACAAATAGAGAAAAGGCATATTTGTTCATGTAAATGAAATACCAATTTAATTAAACTAAACTAGCTTTGTGGATATTAATATAGTAGGTCTATACGAGCGTAAAATTACCAGCACGACTCCCCAGAGAGTTCCATCCACCCCTCTCTTTTGGTGAGTGCCCTTGAGTAGTTTATCTTGGGGAAAATTGGAAAGTTGCACTATGGAACGTGGCAAGCAAAAGCTGCACCCGGGGCAAAGCCTTAATTTAAGCCCCCTCTTCTCTAAATCACAATAATGTTTTGCATTTAAAAATGGCAATATGTGCGCACTCTGAAGATGGCACCCATTTGGGGTAGGGGGTCCCTTCGCACGGCACTGGTTGCACTTAATAAGTCAGTCACAAAAACAAAACACTAGTATCTGTTCAGTGCCCTTGTCAAATCGTTCAAAATTTAACATGATTGTCACTGATATAGTTTCAGAATAGAGTTGGGAATTGAACCGAACATACAAAACTTGAACCCTACTGACGACAAAACTCAAACCAAACCCTACTAATGACCCAACATGAACCAAGCCGAACTCTGCTGTCGATCGAACCTGAACTAAACCCGAACTTCAACGTCACTGAGTACGAACCAATCCGAACGTTCGATCGCAAACTTATTTGAACCGACACTGTTTTACGAATGTGGCACATGAATGCTTATACCAGAAATGCTTATAGCTAGAAAATACAATTGCAAAACAAATTTTTGTAAAACAAAATAATCATTTTTAAGTCGTCCATACCCAACTCTTCCCTACCCTACTTTCCCTCGCGCACAGGATATATTTTGTATTAATTAGTGACTAATTAAACAACAACACTATGTGGCAGACTATTTTTCATTCACTGCCAAAAATTCGTTCAAAACAAAATAAAAATTAGATACCCGTAGGCATATTTGTTTATCAGTCACACCCTTTACAGTTTACAACACCTAGATAATGCGAGATATGATTGGGTGGAAAGGCGGGATCTTGGCCCGCCCCAGGCGGCACTAACGCTAGCCACCTCACTGTCTGCAACCTACAAGATTAAAAAATAACAAACCCCGACGCGCCGCAGTAGATCAAAAGTGAGGAAAGACATAATAGAAATTGTTTGTTTTAGCGTGTGCAGTTGAAATGGTTGATATTTAATAATAAAATATTTCGTATCGTTTTGACAAGAATACACATAAAACCCAATAAAAATGCATGTTTCCTTATTTTCACTCAATTTGAGCGACACGCGTTTATGCATACATTTACATTGATACATAACTAGTTAAAAATCATGGTGTACTATGATTGCTTAAGAAAATGTATTACCTAAATTATGTTGTTATTTTTGTGAATTTCCATATAAATCCGTATGTTTATAATAAACGTAATATGCATTTATTTTATTTAAATTTTAAAACAAAATTAATTTCAAATAACCAAATGGGGAACTGCTGTCGACCACAGTGTGGTCGCCGAAGCCAATCTTTAGTTGTTACTGAATGCGAACCGAACCCTGAAGACGACTGAACACGAACAGAACTTCTAAAATGTGGCTCTCTATTTCAAAATATTGACACATTTAAGCCTTGATACTTTTATAGGTTAAACTTAAACTAAACAACTATTTATTTATTTTTTTATTATTTTTTTTTTTTATTTTTTTTTAATTTTTTTGTGTGTGCATATAGTCATTTTATAATGTATGTCTCCTTAGAAATTATTATGGGAAACATAGTCAGGGGTGGATTGGGAGGGTGAATATGTACATTACAACTGTTGGAGTGTTAAGTTTTTAAACTTCTTCTATTCAAGATTGTGCCGAGGAAAAGCGAAACGTGAAAACGGCAATTCTTAAATAAATTTAATGATAGGCTATATGAATATGATGTAGGCGAATACCCTCTATATTATTTGTAAAGTTAGGATAATTTTCCATTTTGGCACCCCCCTGCTTCCATACTTTAATGTATTATTAGTATCTATATCTACAATCAATATACTAGCACACGGATGCAGTGATTTAGCCCTACATTTCAATTATCAAATAACTGAACAAGTTTCTGAAAAGATTTCATTTGAGTTTAAATGCTTAGATAATGGATTTTTTATTCAAAAAAATTATGTTTAGGCATAATATTGTAAAGATTCGTTGTATTCAAAGAGTAGCGGATTGCCGATCGCCAGCTTTATGATAAAATTGTATAATAATTTTTAAAGACCCTGCTGTCTGGAGTGTGTCTAAGGTTCTTTTTTTTTTCCTGAGAAAACAATAATTCGGGAAGCAAACGTCCAGTTCGCTCGGACAGTTCGGACAGCACTGCACTCAAATTGCAAGCGCACCAATGCTCAGAAACCATCATTCGAACATGACGGCGATAAATTTATCCTACTTTTTTAGGACATGTGTCTCGGAATCCTGACCCTGGGCCAAATGGGTGGGGATGTAGAGAGAATAGAGCACCCGTTCCGGGTGTCATCTTCAGAGGGCGCCCAAATCGTAATTTTTCATGCAAAATAAATATTGGATTAGATATAGGCAGTGGCGACGCTACGCCAAGTCCCGCCGGGTCCCATGACCTGGTAAAAAAACTTGGGATCTGGCAAATGACCTGGTAAATGTTAATTAGTTACTAATATTATATATATAATAAATATTACTTAATAAATAAATTTTAATTTTTAATACATTTATTTGGGACCCTCCAAATTTGTTTAAGACCTGCAAGGGACCCGCCATGTTAAATTTGATGGCGTCACCACTGGATATAGGCCTACATTTTTGGTAGGAGGGTGGCTATAGTCATCCTTTAACCTTTCCTGGCATTGACTAAGGAATGGGGTGCGGAGGGGGCGCTCTGAATTAGGCGGCATTTTATTTTCTTTATACGGTCGGCATTTTCCACCAACTTCAGTCAGTGTCCTTTTACGTGGCAGGATGCAGCAAAATTCTCAGCCCTGCCCAGGTGGCACACCCTAGCTAGGTTACTGTGTCCCGGTTAACTGGTTCGTCCTCCAGGCTCAGTACTTTGATCCTCGTGAGTCGTGTCTGCTGAGGAAGGCTCTTAGCCGAAACGTTATTCTCTTATTGTCCTGTCTTTCGATTCAAGATTCCACACACCTTGTTCTACTATTTCCTTCACAGAGCTTGCACTCAGTCCTTCCTTTATTATCATTTATTTTAAAAAAGGTTTCAGCTATCTATAAATGGTGATGTTCAAAACCAAGCCTTCTTATGTTATTGATGTAAATTATGCGCCATTTACACTGATCACTTTTTAGAAAATTTAATATACAAAATTATTTCTACAATATTTTCTTTTATTAGAATCACTTTTTCGGATCACAGAATAAATTACAGAGAGTGAACGCATATCACAAATCATAAAGGCGAATAAGGAGGAAGTTAAATTTCTTTGAACACGCATTAAGAGGTGAAAGATTTAGTTAAACTAAGTTGTTGTTACCGAAAAAAACTGTGTCACCCATGAAAGGTCGTCCTGGGGGTGCGAAGAAGATGGCACCAAAATTGTCCCTTTTCCTTGCAAACCATTGTTTGAACTATATTTTTTTTTTTTTGGGGGGGGGGGGGGAGGGTTGTCTGAACCATTGTTTGAGCTATAGCATGGGGAGTTCATTGAACTATTGTTTGAGCTATAGCATGGGGAGTTCATTGAACTATTGTTTGAGCTATAACATGGAGGAGTTCAGAAACCTGCCGGTCTCTCTCTCTCTCTCGAGGCAGATGAAGAAGCGCTAGAAGAGGTAGAAGTGATAGATGAGGCATAGCGGGACGAGGTATAGCGGAGATAGATGAATATATAGGTTATATTTGTATCTAGAAAGAGATAAAGGGGAGTTTTATGTGTAGCAAGAGCAAGTTCAGTTAAAAGAAGTGATACAGGAGGAGGTACGAGTAAATTACAGGTATAGAAGTATTTAGAGAGAGAGAGAGAGAGAGAGAGCGGGGAACACACAAGCACAAATCAACACAAACAAATGAGTTTTATGTAATAGTCTGACGTTTAAACCATTCAGCCACCTAGCTAAGTGAGCGAAATTGCCAAATAGTTCATGTCTAACAGACAGATTTCTTTCTTAACCATATTAACCTTTGAACCGACCGGGGCACACGTTTCATACATGACTCCATTTCAAACAAGCTTCAAATTGTCTCTACTATACAACTGTACTGAAAGTATGCAATCATTTCGATTCCCTTTTATATTCCCCGATGAATCCCTGTGGATCACATATAATAACTTTAATGAATTCTCTTTTTGTATTATTTCACTATAACAGACAATATAATTATAATATACCTTAACTGTGACATATTCCATAAAGTATTTCTTTTGTTATGCCAGGCATATCCCTTTACAACAATCACATGCACATATATAAAGGATAGTTTTGTTTTAAAGGTTATCCCTTTACAATCATTTTCATAGAGTTCAACACGGTGCTTGAGATAGAGAAGATAGATGAGATAGGTGATAGGTGTAGGGGAGGCAGAGGTGATGGTACAGGATGAGGTTTCCCCCCCCCCCCCCCCCCCCCCCCCCCACCAAAAAAAAATTTAAAAAACCGTCCTTGAAAGTGTCAGTTTTTTTCAACTTCATGATTTGGTCACCCTAAGCTCAATGCATTCGATGTAACAGACACTCAATACATTTAGAGGTACAACTTTAGGCCTTCACTCTCATTTCAAGTCTGCACATTCCAGTGACTGCTTGGGTGTATTTCTAAGGCCAGATTACGACCAGATGCAAAAACATATCGTGGATATTTAAAAGCTTGGTCAGACAGCGGATTCCTCGTGATAAATATCTACGAACAATGAAATTAAATATCTTGGATCTCAGCATGATGAACTTAAAGACACACTGCCGCTTAAGAGACAATTTAAAATTGAAATACAAAAGACACTTCCAGACCAACGGATTGAGACTTTGAAACATTGGTAAAAACAGAAATAGCTTTATTTGAGAATGGTGGTTCAAGAGGAAAATATATAAAAATTGCGTATTATAGCCTAAGGTCTATTCCTCCGACCAGTGTGAAGACAGAGCGAGTGTTCTCTTCATCGGGTTACTTTTGCAACCATTTGCGGTCAAGTTAAATATTTAATAACTTAATATGTATCAATACACTAGAGAGTCCAATAATTGACTACTGATTATTTCAAACATCGGATGTCGTAGCTAACCATGCCTTTTAAAGACTTTCTCTGTACTCGCATTTTGCTCCAGTGTGATGTTTGTTTGTCGTAATATTTTTGTGGGTCATGAGACACTCCAGGTCAGTCAGTTCACGGTATTTTTTAATTTCAATATTATTATTATGTGCAATGCACATAGCACGGTGGAGCATTGTAGTACAATCACACATGGCACGGTGGAGCATTGTAGTACAATCACACATGGCACGGTGGAGCATTGTAGTACAATCACACATGGCACGGTGGAGCATTGTAGTACAATCACTAGAACAAAAAAATGAGATCACTGTCGCCAGTGTTTCTTTAAGAAATTTTCCACCGGGGGAACACTGCAGTTTTTCGGGGGTGCAGTGCCAGCAGTTCCAGTTGATGTATTGGACATATTTTTGCTCCGGGGGGCACTTACCTTTCCCCGGAACCGACCTGCGTTAACCATTTATAATAAATCACCATAACACACTGTACACTATGCAACATACATGCAGTGGCGTAGCGAGGGGGGTGCGGACCGCACCGGGTGACACCATTTTAGGGGTGACACCCAACTGAAAAATTGCATATTTACAGAGCAATCTGAGCACACACAACCGAGATTCATAAAAGTATAACCGATCACACTTAAATTTTTCATAAATGTAACCAATCCAAAGACATGGATGGTTTGGTGATCATGTTGATTCAAACCATGATACTGTACGTGTAATGGTTAATGACAAAAACTGGCACATTTTAAAAGATGCACTAGATACATACCTCATATACCTTTAGGGAAATATGAAGCACCTCGTTTCAGAACAAGGACGGACTATTCAGCGTAGTGACAAGGCTAAATGCTAAATCTAAAGGAGGTGTTTGCCAGCTAAAAAAATCAATGGATCTAAGGGATGATTCAAAATGGCAAGAAAATACTGCGGTCGTGGATGGTTTATTCACTCGTCAGTCAGAAATTGTATTGTTTTTGCTGCAGATTGTTTGCTGTTATTGTTACAGAAACAAAATCCACATTTGTTACTGGCTTTGATAAGTGTGGAAAATGAGCCCAAAATTACAAAACCATGAGGCATTGGAAGAGCACCTATGTTGCCTTGAAAAGTGGAAAGCATTGGCAGCAGGACTTAGGATACACAAAACAATTGATGCCGAAAGTATTGCTGTGATGGACAGGGAGAAGAAAAAGTGGAGGGATATCCTTCACAGGTTGCTGGATATCACATTGTTTCTTGCAAAACAAAATCTTGCCTTTCGTGTCCACAACGAATTTGAGTCTTTACTTAATTTTTCTTGAAATGGTTGACATGTTATCTAAATATGACTCAGTGCTAAAAGAGCACCAAATGAGACTAAAGACGAGTACATCTACAAAAAAAAACATTCGCATCTTACCTTACACAAAAAACCCAAAATGATTTTAAAAATGTCCTTGCACACCATGTTAATTAGATTCTTTTCATGGATTTAAAGACTGCAAGCTATTTTGAAATTATATTCGAAAGTACACCTGAAATATCACAGTGATCAGATGTCCGAAGTGATCAGATATGTGAAAATCAACAATGGGAAAGTTGAAGTGAGAGATGTGTTCTTGCATTTTTCCCGTTAAGAGGGGAAAAAGCTGATGACCTCAGCTCTGAAATTCTTTAAAATCTAAAACTTTATAGACTAGAAATAATGATTTCAGAGCTAAAGGTTACGATAATGCTTCCACAATGTCTGGAATCCATGAAGGTGCTGAGGCCATTATGTAAAGAAATATTAAAAGAATGCAATTTTTAATATATGTGTGGGCAATTCACTTAACTTGTGTGGTCAACACTCTTTTGCAGAAAATGCTTCATGTATTACATTTTTCGGTACTCTTGAAAGAATATTTTCCTTGTTTGCTGCATCCACTCATCGATGGAATGTTCTAATTGAACACACCACTGGGATGTCGGTGAAAAGACTGTCAATAACGAGTTGGAGAGCTCATCATGCTGCTGTTAAAACAGTGAAAGATGAGTTTGATGAATGTGCGGCGGTGATTGAAACTCTGTGTAATCCTCTTGAATATTCAGATACAAAAAGGTACAGCACACGGTCTTTTACATGCTGTCTGTGATTTCACGTGTATATGCTACCTTTACCTTTGGGCTGATCTACTCGAGGAAGTTAATCGTACACAGCAGTATCTGCAGACTAAAGGCTTTACTCTTGACAAAGTGGTGAGAAACCTATAGGCCTAAAGATTGTTTCTCCACGTGAAGCGCCGTCACTTGGTGTAACATGCTATTGAAAAGGTACTTTTAAAATCAGACCAATATGGAATTTCGGTAGAGAGAAGAATAAGGTTGAAGAAGCGAATGGCAGGAGAACAATTAATTGATGCTGGACTCTTTCTGCGAGAAGAAAAAAGTAGGGAGATCCTGGCTTGTATTGATCGCTTTCATTCTGAAGGCCAGATCAGATCATTAGCGACCAAGGAAGTAGCAGATATGTTTGGTACTGTTTGACACAAGAGTCTAGTAGCAGCAAGTGAAGAAGAGTTATTGGTTTCCGTTCCAAAATTAACCTCTTTCTATGATGAATCATTAGAAGATGAATTTTTAAAAGAAATACTAAAGCTTAGAAGAGATCTAAAGGCAGCTGATATTGAATTTCACAAATTCAAGGACTGGTCAGTATTTGATGTTTTTAAATTCATAGCTGAATGGGACCTCCTAGAATCTCCTCCAATACTCTCGCTAAGCTTTTAATTTTTTTCATACAATATGTGTGTGTGTGGCTTTTTGCGCCCAGAGCTTATCAAAACTAAGCTTATCAAAAAATATTTATGATCCACCATGGAAAAATCTAGGCTTTCTGATGCGGCTCTGCTATTAATTGATAAAGTGAATGAAATTGATTTCGATCAAGTGATTGACAGGTTTGCAGCTTTGAAGACACGGAAAGGACAATTTGAAATAAAGTAAATTGAATGTAAAAATAACTATAACTTAACGTTGTTGCAGATTTAAAGACATTGACCTCATGACCTTCGATGTATGTGATTTTGTCCCTGTCATTGTTATACAGTGTATTTGTTTTAACAAGTAGAAATCCATCATTGAAGTTGTTTTTTGTTTTTTGTGTTTGTTTGTTGTTTTTTTTGGGTGGGGGGGGGGTGACACCATGAGTTTACCGCACCGGGTGACTCCAACCCTAGCTACGCCACTGCATACAAGAATACCCATACTAAGTCTTTCATACTTTGCAACCATAAACAACACAGGCCAATATATATATATATATATATATGTGGCAATGTGCCACTATATAAGAGAATCCACTCTCATAGTGTCACTGCTATGGGTAACCCCAAGCACGTACACATCCATTATCCATGGTCATTCAACGTAACACTCAGCCGTGTACTGGCCTTAAATTTTATGTAGGTTATTTAGACGCGGGAATAACCATCCCTGCTACGGGGTTGAGCCATGGTCAGCTCGGACGCGGGTTCCCTGTGACTGTGTGTGTGTGGGGGAGGGGGGGCGAACTGGGACTTGAGGTGTGTACATTTTTGAGATTGTGGTGTGGAACGGATGCGTCGGGTCGATGGCAGGTGTGAGAGATTTTCCTGTCGGCTCTGTCAACGCATTGTACCTTACATTAAAAAGCTATAGTTCTCAGACCTGATTGTTTTATTGTGATTTCATTTAAACTGTAAGCTACGTCATCCACTCGGCTACAGCTTTGGCGTTGTCACCTAAGGCAACCCTAAACAACCACCAATCTACTACAGTTTTTGGCGTCGTCGGCAGGATCAATTTGAGGATAGCTTTGCAGAATCCAATTTTGAACGTTAGAAGAAAAGGGACAATATAGATTGACCAATGGAGCCCGCGTTGAAAGCAGAACAAGTGCCAGTCATCAACACGCATGTCACGAAAGACCACAACAAGCCATGCCATTCATATCGACATGGACAGTGTCAGCGGTTATACAAGACCCGGCACCTTAGTCTTCGTTCTTTGCCACCTATAAGTTATGAACCGTGGCCCACGCCCCTACCAGTACCAGTCACCTGCAGGGCGCCACGCAAACAAGCCAACCACAAGGCGTGCAAACCACAAGGAATTGGACAATGCCCGCGGTCAAAAATTGCCCCGCAGTATCCGCTCCGTTCCTTACCACCTGGCAGATCACGACCGTGGGCGACGTTCGTACAGAAAGGTGTACCACCACGCGTCTATCCTTCATGTCACTACTGGGTGGCTGGCAAACTCCCTACTCATCAGAAGAGCGACTCGACTACTCATCGTCGCACTGGTGCATCGACCTACAGATGTCGCATCGACATGCATCGACTGGGCGAGCCAGCACCGTCACCCGATGATAGAGACATCAGCCCTCCAGTCCAAGAACATACCCCCACCAGTAACAGGAGCTATGATGACCTGAGACGACCCGTAGCCAACAAGTAGCCCTACCGGTCTATCTGGCCACTGTGTACTGACAATGCATTTATACCCTTGTTCATTCGTAGAGTACATTTTTTTCTTCTGGAATGTTAAACTTTTCATGTTCATTTGTAATCAAGTTAAGTAGTGTTTTTTTTTTAAAAAGTTTATTGATTGTCAATCTCACTTAATGTACCCATTTACAGTGAGATCGCCATTGTTAGGTATGCGACAGAGAGCCTTGTCCCCTAAAGATCCACGTATGCATGCGTCGACCAACACCTATAATTGATATAGTCCTAATAACACATGCTGAACTGCCTCAAGTTTCACATAGACTTAGGCGTATACACCAGTATACAATTAGCGATTGTACATCGTAGTGCTTTTGGTAGACGTACTGCCATGCTACAAGTCTTGGGTCGACCTGGTGCGCGCGCTTGTAACCTCATCAATCATATCATTATAGATAGTACAATGTCGTGACAAGGAAATACTTGTCATACTCAGGGAGTGAATTACACCAAGGTGCTTTTATTGTATTGAGCACTGGCGCTGCATTTTTTTAATGTATATATTTCTCTGTCTTGTACTTGCTGATTCCTTTACAGTCGAGCCAGCGAGGGCGCTGGATTTCAAAAGTTGGGGTGGATGTGGCAGTGTATGCCCCGTTAGCCCGTTATTTTGAGACAACCGTTATTAGTACAACCATGTTTGGCGCCCAACGCGAGGTCGCGCGGTGTGACCTCGCCTAGCACTGGATCGGAATGTTGAACTCAGGTATCCCTTTCACCCCACCCGGCGGTCTCTATACGGCCGGCTTCTCCTGCCCAAAGGGGGGAAATAATAGAATACCACGATGTGCGCTTTAGTTAGAAAATCAATAATTTATTTCTCGGGAACCCTAGCGTATTAAGTTATAAATTATATCTAGTTAGAAAGGGGATTTTATTCACTATACCTTAGCATATTTACAAGTTTCCATCGTTGGAGAATATTTTAACATTTAGTCATTAAAGGAGTTTTCGCCTTCATTTATAGTGGTCCCCACCCCTTCTAGTTAAAATATCTCAAGAACTATTTAACTAATAAAAATATAAAATAGTATCTTAGATAGCTGAGATAAAACTGCACAGATCACATATAAGTCGTTAGGGCTTTGGTCAGAGATTTTAATTATTACTCGGGATTAGTCCCCAGAGTTAGGCATTTTATCCCAGGAAACTGGCCAGAAGGCAAAACGTAGACCGACTTGGTTAAGTCTGACGGAGAAGCTCTCTCATATGTCCGCGCAAGGCTTTAAAAGGGGGAGCACACTAAATTGGGGGGTCATTCGAGATTGGTCGGCTTCCCTGCAGTGTGCCTTTGTTCAGTGCGGCCCATTGGAACGCTCTGTAAGTAGAGGCAAATACGCCATTTTATTTCTTTGTGGTTAGTAGGAACTTGTTGAGTGTTAGCATTAGAAGATTTCTGTTCAGACTTATAGCCAGGATATAGTGTAGAATAACCTACAGCGTGTAGACTTATGCTCAGGCTATTTTAAAGGTTAACATACAACCGGTAAATAAATTCTTTAATAGGATTAATAAATTAGATACCAGTGACCAGGGTGTGTGAGCGTAACAAACAACTGCATATCGTTCTGGGTACACATACTGCAGTGCGCTTATAAAATAAGCTATTGATACAACAGTATACAACCAGCGAGTGTCCGTCAAATATGTGTAATAGGATAACTTTCCTGCCGTGTGCTAAATTCTCACATAGGAAATGGTGCATGTGTGAGGATCATATTCCATATAATGATTCATTCTGCAATCTGCTGTTGTCTTAACAAGACACAGCGATGGGCAGATACAAGTATCAAGCCAACGGTGGTCATACTTTATACCATTGTATGTACTGTCCTGCTATGGGTGCTTCTTACATAGACACCATACCTGGATGGCATACTATAATAACTTCAAGATCTTTAAAGTTTATGTTAGCCCTCACATCGCACTCTGGTTCTGTGTGTAGCATTAACACTGTGCACGTGTTTCAAATTAAACACTGCACGTGGTTTCTTTTATAGTTAAAACATTCGTAGTACAAGATAATTATCTTTGCCATGTGTATGAACCAATACTACTTACGTATCATTTATCATGCTTTCTAGTTAAGTATATGTTGTCGCCACGTGTAATTACGTGGTTATGTAATATGTTTATTATTAGCTTTGTTAGTCAGGACATTGTTAACCTGTACTATTTGTTTATTTTCAGATATTGTCCTTTTTCTTTCCCTTTTTCTTTCTCTTTTTCTTCATAGGCTTCTTCTCCATAGTTCATAGTGTCCTTTTTCTTGTTTTCATCATAGGAGAGCATTAATTAAAAAGCTATAGTCCTCAAGACCTGATTGTTTCATTTTGATTTTGATCTTATTTATAAAACTGTAAGCTAAACGTCATCCACTCGGCTACAGTTTTTGGCGCTGCGAGCAGGGTCAATTTACACTACTACAGTGTTTTGGCGTTGTCACCTAAGGCAACCCTAAACAACCACCAATCTACTACATATATATATATATATATATAGCCGTAATCGAGAGCAAGAGAAGAGCCCTACTTACCTATAGGGAAGCATCTTGTGCTAGTACACTGCAAAAAAATTATCACAGCAGACGGCCCGCCACTGTGTCAACACTTACTGGATAGACCTTTGCAATCTCATACAATAGGTTTCAGACAACGGAGATGCAAGGAGCATGTACGAGGGCATCAAGAGGGCATTTGGTCCACACACGTCAAAAATAGCACCACTCAAGTCCAAGACGGGTGAAATTAGCAAGAATCCAAATGATCAACTCCGGTGTTGGGTAGAGCACTGTCTTGAGCTATACTCTACAATGAATGTAGTTACTGAGACCGCTCTCCATAATATTCCTGCCTTATCAGTAATGAATGAATTGGATGAAGAGCCAACTTTACAGGAGCTCGAAAAAGCCATCGATTACCTTGCGGATGTGAAGTCTCCAGGGATCGACGGCATCCCAGCGGAAATCCTCACTATCCTACTTCAGCCCTTACATAAACTCCTCTGTCTGTTTTGGGAAACAGGTCACATTCCCCAGGACATGAGAGACGCCAACATCGTAACATTGTATAAAAATAAAGGAGACCGAAGCGATTGCAATAAGTACCGAGGTATTTCTCTCCTTAGCTTAGTTGGAAAGACTTTTGCCCGGGTTGCCCTTAAACGATTGCAAAGCCTTGCGAACCGCATCTACCCAGAGTCCCAGTGTGGCTTCAGGAGTGGGCGCTCAACAATAGACATGATATTTTCGCTACGCCAAATGCAGGAAAAATGTCGTGAATGTGGTGATCTGACTTATGACTTATTAGAGAGGAGGGTCTCTCGTATGAGATCTCCTCTTGGCACTCTGTCTAGGGATATGTTATTTAAGCCGAATAACCACACGGACATAACACCTATCTATATACATATAGTATAGACTGAAACGAAGTCTTAGTTAAAGGTGAAATTAACTACAAATATTTATTACACAATAATATTTACAACTTCCTACGTGAAACACTCGTGGTGCTCAATGTATATACATCAAACGGATTTCATCCAATTAGAAAGGTATATTAACACAAAGCAAGTGTCCCTAACATACAGACGGTATCATCATTACTACTGCTATATTGCTCAAGTTCTATGCTCGATCTTGGTAAACTTAGATAGCGAAGTCGGAGTTCCCGGTCGTAGAGTCCTTGGGATGTCTGCGAGGGGAAGATGACTCTCCCGCGATAAATCGTGGTGGTGAGAGTCCCTGGATCTCGAAGTCCTAGCTGTCAGGTAGTTTGGTGTAGGATGTAGATCATCCCCTAGTTCCAGCTCGAGGTAAGTCGGTCCAGTAGTAGAAACCAGGCTAAAGGCAAAAATGATACAAAATTGGATAAGTATCCAGGCGAATATCCATAAGTCCCGTTCCAACAGCAACGAATTCAGATCGATGTCTGGAAGGTGACATAGCTTGTACATTAGAGACCGACCGAAAGTGATTTTCTGATTTCGGCCGAAGCCGAAAATAGGCCGAAAGTTTAAAATGACTTACGGCCGAAACCGAAAAAAGGCCGAAATTTTAAAAATGACTTTCGGCCGAAACCGAAAAAAGGCCGAAGATTAAAAATGAATTTCGGCCGAAACCGAAGCCGAAACCGAAAATGAAATATTAAGATATTTTGAAATTCGTTCCCGCATACATTCTGCATACATCGAAAATGATGTGGGGAAAGTATAAATATTTACATTCTTTTATTAAAAAAATGAGATAATCGTAAATATTAATAAATAAACATCTAATATAGGGGTCTCAAACTCGCGGCCCGCGAGCCATATGTGACCCGCAAGACTATATTTTGCGGCCCGCAGAAAAGTTTAGTGTAAATGCGCCGGCCCGTTTCCCCCATTCTCATATCTATAACGTGACTCTCCGCGACGGTTTCAGTCGAATATCACCGACTAGTCTAATTCTGACTTT